GCTTCCAGGTGAGCGCGGCGGCGCCGGGCGGCCCCGCGCGGCTCTGCGCAGCCCCGCGCCCACGGGCCGTGTCCCTCCCGGCAGTTCCTGGAGCAGAAGTACGGCTACTACCACTGCAAGGACTGCAACATCCGCTGGGAGAGCGCCTACGTGTGGTGCGTGCAGGGCACCAACAAGGTAGGCCCCGTGCCCCGTCCAGTCCCACCGTGGGGTCCCGTCCCACCGTGGGGTCCCGTCCCACCGTGGGGTCCCGTCCCGGCTCACGGCGCCGCCGCTGCCCCCAGGTCTATTTCCGCCAGTTCTGCCGCACCTGCCAGAAGTCCTACAACCCCTACCGCGTGGAGGACATCACCTGCCAGGTAAGGGCCGCCCTGCCGCGTTGTGTCGCGTCGTGTCGCATCGTGCCRCGCCGCCTCTCGCCGCCACTGCACTTCCCCGCAGAGCTGCAAGCAGACGCGGTGCACGTGCCCCGTGAAGATGCGCCAYGTGGACCCCAAGAGGCCCCATCGCCAAGACCTCTGCGGGAGATGCAAAGGCAAACGCCTCTCCTGCGACAGCACCTTCAGTTTCAAGTACATTATCTGAGTGGAGTGTTTTTGTTTAGGGCTCTTCGACAAAACTGCGGGTAGAGCAGATTTTTTTTGTTGTTGTTTGAAGGTGCTTGGTGAGGTGTAGCTAGAAGACATGTGAATAAAGGTGTTGCAAAGCACTTCCAAGTGATCAGGCAGGTTTATGCCCAAGTCAGAGGATGTACGTTGTTATTTTCATGAGGAAGAACCTATTAGTGTTTCTCAGATTAGTGGGGGTCTTGGCAGCCGTTGACTTGGGACCTTGTAGCATCTCGAATGGGAAGGGACACCTTCCATTCCTACTACCTCTGAATTAAACACGGACTTAAAATTCATCCCCTTAAAATTCATCACGGASCTCTACAGTATGAAGCAGAATATCACTCTTGAACAAAGCATCTAGTAACATTCACTTATTTTGCACATTGATATTCCATTTAGGAAGCTTCCTTCACCGCAGTAATATGATTGAGAGGCACCRTAGAGAGGTCACTTCTATCCGTGCTGCCTGTCTGCTCTTAGCTGTGGTAGCATCCTTGCTCTGTAGGCCAGAGCTGAAAAAGTTTGTGGTTGACCCAATGTGTCTTTGGGGACATTTGGGGAAATTATCACAAGCTGGTGGGCAGGGAGTCACGGATGCAAAGGTTTTGGGAAAAGAATCTTGCTTCTGCTGGGTTATCRAGGCACAAACGATCACAAAGTGGTTCTGCATCTGCCCGGCTTCCTCTTAGCTGCAGATAACACACAAAGCACTACAGCTTAAGTGCCTTATGCTTGAGAGTTTGGTCTAGCTCGGGTATAGCCTGTCATGGGGGAAGAATTAGACTTAGATGCCCTTCTGGGATTGGGTTTGCTGCTTGGGTTCTCTTTCTGTTCTTGTGTTGTGTGGCACAACCAGCCCTGTTAATCCCCAGGGATGCTGCCCAAGAGCTGCTGTTGCTGTAACGTTCACAGCCTGTGTGTTGGGCTCAGCAAATATCAGCAAACTTCCCAGGTTGACGCTGGGACTACAGAACTGCCTGGCTGCAAAACCTACACCCCACTGGGCTACCTCATAGCTAAGAAAAGCTTGGTGAATTTATGGAAAACTTACTTTTCTGAGGATGTTAATAAAGCTGCTAATCTGGAAATTATTATATTGCACTAAACTTTTTGGAAATCTCTTTAACTTTCTTAGGAAGGACAGGCTTATCTCTGTCTCCAACAATCTTATGCCTGCACTTATCTTCCTCAAGCCCACTGTGCTAAGCAGAATAGCTGAACAGGGCCCTGCCATCAGGAAAGCCCAGCTCACTGCCCGGGGACTTTGTTCTCTGTGGATGGGAGCTATTGTGTGTCAGAGCAGGCTAATGCTGTCCTCGCTATCAACAAGTGGCCTTTTAGAAGGGCTGGTGTTAATCTACRGCTGATATATAACTCATCACACTGTGTATTTGTGTTTTAACTTGCCTCTTAATATTGCTGCAGTAATTAAGGGCTAATACTTGAACACCATTTTGTTGCTAGAKGACTTTAGTTATTGATGCTGTAATCACTATAGTAGCATGGTGTGTTCTGGGAACAAGTAGCAGATCCAATTCTTTTCTTTTTATCCATCCACTTGAAAGTTGTTCTTTTTGTTTTGTTTTTCTTCTATATCAGAGTAAAATTCCTGGCTTTACTMGCTTGCTCGAAGGAAAGACTCGCATAGTAAGTCCTATCCTCACCTGAGAAGTGYGACTACAGCCTTTCCTTGCCCTGGGTGCTCCCCTGCACCCCACCATGTTCCCTGTAAGGATGTTATGGTCTCTGCCTTTCAGTTAAGTTTTCCTGTTTGTCTTACAGTTTCTAAAATCTAGTCTTCTGAAACAGCTGAGATCAGTCTGCTCAYCTTGGTGATGAGCTTAAGAACTTAAGTGTTGCAGCCTAATTGAGAAGCCCTGTGGCAACTAGTAAAAATAAGTGCAGCTGAGTGTTTTGGTGCAGAGAGCCTTGAAGCAGTGCGTCGGGGGTGATGCTCTGAATGCAACGTGGTCATCGGGGGAATTATACTGTAACAGCCTGCGGAGAAATTCAGGACACCTTAGAATAGTCATTTGACTGTCCAAATACCAGTTGTGGTCAGAACGACTGCTGCTTTTGTTCCCCCATGTCTATGAGGGCCTGGCTGCCCTAAGTTTAAGCAGCTGCTGAAGGCCTCCATGGGCTGTGGGAGCTGAGAGGCGCCGGTGCTCCGAGGCAGGGTTAGTGGCACCGAGTGTGCCAGGGATGGGTCCCGAGGCAACAGGGCTTCTTCCTTTGGCAGGGCCTGCCCAGGCCCACTGCAGCGGGACCTCCAGGCTTCTCCTGCTAACCCCAAACTAKGTTTTGGGCCAAGGCTGGGATAAGAACCCCACTTTTGCCCTACATGAGATGTTCCCCACAGAGCAGTGCTCTTTGCTCCATGTGCTTCCGTGTTTGCTTGCCACAGCAGCGGCACCTCCGGCCTTTCCTTCTCCCTGAACCCTGGGCAGTGCTAGGTGGGTGACCCAGGGGAACTTCTTTTGTTTTTGTTCTCATTTAGAGCATTAATTGAGTCAACAGTCCCAGTCTCAGTGGCTTGAGAAATGGTTTAGGGTGAAGTTTAGTGTTAAGAGAAAGCCGCGGGCTGGAGAAAGGGGCTGCTGAAGGAAGGTGTCTGTGGCCATGGGAGCTGTCCTGGGAGCAGTGTCACCTCTGGGACACTAATGGCAGGTCACAATCCTAGCCCTGGCCTGAGCGTGGTTTAGGGGTTGGGTTAGACTTGGGAAGAAGCCTGGAGGGGCTGCTGGAGAGCCCTGGGAAGGGGCAGCAATTGGCCTCTGGATCCCAGTTTGTCCTAAGAAACAGTTGTGAGGTAGGAGAATGGCTGAGAGTTGGGGAGAAGGCAAAAGCCGGAGGTGTCCTGAGTGGGTCTAAGGCAGGGTCACACGTGTAAGGAAGGTGCGTGCTGCCCTGCGAGGTGCTTCCCAGGAAGGGCAGAAAKGGGAACCGCAGCCCCAGCCCTGGCTCCGGGAGCGGAGAAAGGCTGGAGGGGCTGTGGGAACGGAGCGGGAAGGGGCTGCTGAGGGAAGCAGGTGCTGTCCTGCGAGGAGCTCGTCACCTGGAGCAGCTTTGGGGTCTTAGCCACGGGAATGGGACAGCAGCAGGAGCAGCTCTCGCTGCCCTCTGCTTACACGTTCCAGCCACCGGCTGCTCCGTGCTCCGGGACAGCCCCGTGTCCTTCCCCCTGGACCTCTCGCCGTGTCCTCCTCRTCCCCATGCACGTGTGGCTGTGCCGGGCAGCAAGAACAGGCTCCTCGCTGTCCTTCCATCGGGTACCCCGTGAACTTGCCCCCTAGCCTGTCTCGTGACGTTGTTTTGGTTTCTGAAGCAGCTTTGGGTGTTTTAGGTATTTTTAAGCTCAGCTCAAGTGAATGTGTATGCAGTACAAAGCAGGTCTGATCTGCAGCTGTTTTGGGACAATATCCTTTACCACAGCTGTAGGTTTGGCACGTACCTCTCATCCAGCAGCTCGTGCAGCTTTCTGAGAAGCAGCTACAGGCCAAACGAGCAAAAAGAAYTGCAACCAAACTGGCTTAAGGCTCTCCTCTTAAGGAGGCCAGGTGAGGAAGATGCCCAGGAAAATGCCAGGATATAGAAAAAAAAAATATATATAAATTTGTCAGGATATAGGAAAAAAAAAATGCATCAATTAGGATTGATGAGTCTAATACTGTCAGTGCTTAGCTGACTCAAATATTTAAACACTTAAATATATCCGTGGCTTGTAAAATAGACAAGATGATAGATACAATGTCTTTTATTTTTACAAAAAAAAAAAAAAAAAGCTGGTAAAAGATGATGTAAATAAAAGTGTAATGCACCACTAAATAAAACTACTTATCCCCAGTAAATACTTATTAAATAAAGAACACCATCTACAGTACCACAAACCATCAAAATAATTCAATTTTATGGGGGTCAGGAAAAAAAATACAGTGATTATGGATGTGCCTTGACCAGTTACAGAGCTTGTTAAGATAACATAACTACTGTCAGCAGTCCAACAGCGTGCACAGTGCCTTCCATTAATGCATTTCAGCATAATTACATTTCTAGTGGGGTCCAATTCCCCCCAAAAGGCGGAGCTAAGAATTTCAATTCTACATTCTAAACTCTGGAATTAGAGCCCATTAAAAAAATCACAGTGGGTAAGAGATGTATATAAAAATACTGGGTGTTCCTTTCAAATCACAGGAGTTATGGGACTACATTCTATTTTTTTTCTCTTTTTTTTTTTTTCTTTTTAATACAAAACGTTATTGGTTTCAGCAGAATCCAGTTCATTTTATGCTACAGCCCTCGACACTGAGCTATGAGTATATTGCCTGTTTGCATGTTTTGGTAGCCGTTGCTGTTCTTCCATAGTCCCCCTTCCTTAGGCTGGAGTCCTGCAGACRCACGGTTGTGCTTCCAACTTGTGGTCTGAGCCCTGCCCGTGACTCCCACCAGGGAGCCTCCCCCTTCCCTCATAGCTCTATACACCTACTGTCATAACAGTGCATTGCACAAATGTACAAGAAAAATACTGGTTTTGCACTATACAGTTTCTAGAATATATACAGAATAAAATAAGTTAACTTCTTTCTTCTAAGGAGAGTTGCTGATGGGCAGCATACACCTTTAATATACATTTTAAAGTCTCTGCAGGCAGCTACTTTTTGGTTAGTTGTTATCAATATTTGTAACGTATGCACTGATCAGAGAACTGAGCAGCATTCCAATAAAGTTAACAGATATATTATTTCTTTTAGAAACACTGGGAAATCCCAGTTTAAAATATTATTAAATGTCCTAACATTTACACACTAGGAGGATTAGATCTAATAAAATAAAATTTCTTCAAAAATAATCTTGCAGCTCTTTGAAGCATGCTCTGAGACCTTATTTAACAATCATCCATACCATCAAAAAGCAACTGTCACATAGCCATACACTCTAACTCACATACATCATTTCCTCAGTACAGACAAAAGAAAGCAAATAAAACATTGAGAAGTCACTGGTTTTTGCAGCCCTAAGCCATTCTGCTCAGCTTTGACTGCACATTCTTGATGACCTTTCCAAGTGTCTCATCAGGTACTAGCTGATTATATTTGCTACTGCTGGAAAGCCAGGAAGCCTTGCAGGTCTTCAGCCAAAATAAAGCAGCCTTGATTTTAGCCTCATCTCACCTGCTTTATGTTGATCCAACCTTGAGAGGCTGTTACTGCAACCACCATTTACTGTTCTGTTACAACAGGAAAGAATGCRAATGTATGCATTACGTTTAAGCCCTTTCCTTTCGTGTAGTTCTTTTACGTATATTCAAATAAAAAAAGAGAAATACTACTGCCTGTACAGCTACTGTGTAGAAAGAGCAGTCAAGCGGGATGGTTGACTTCCATTTTCAGATCTCTTGCCTCTGATTAAATAATTTCTTGCTGTGATGAAACCGTGCGTTGGTCACTGGGGTTGCTAGAGGGTCTCCTCTCTCCCCAGCTCTCACAAAACCAAAACAGAAGGTGCTCGATAATAGTCTGAAGCGTCTTCAGCAGGTTCTTCTCCAGGAGACAGCTCTTCAGAATCCAGCGCTCACCAGATTTACGGCCGGTTTGACCTTCCCTAGAAGCTGGCAGGACTGCACCATGCGCAGAGACTCCCGGATTTCCAGGTTGAGTTCCATCAGTTTGGAGCTGGCCTCCGACATATCCTGGTTGGAGCCGACTACGGCAAAGCTGCCCGTCTGGCCGAGCGTCTGATGGCGGAAATAGATGTGCAGCAGAGTCTGGATGGGGTCATCTTCGGAGCTGCCAAAGATGTCATTGGGCCAAATGGACCTGGAAAGCACGTAATTGTCATTTAAATAAATACTTTTTTTAAAAAATGTTCTTTAAACAGATATTTGAACMGAAGATAGAAAAAAATGTTTCTTCTCTAGAGTCTTGGCAGTTAACAGTATCATTTTCTCAAAGATAAAAAAACCACACATTACTGGAACTGTATTTTTTAAATTGCAAAATGTCTATGAAGGAGCAGTCATGAAGCAGCCGCGCTTGTCCTTTTCAATAAGGACATCTAGGGAGAGATCAAAACCAAACAAATGACTCATGCCTACCTTTAAATKAAGAAGCCCCCTTAGCAAAAGCATCATCCACACCAACTTACCTGAAAGCCTTGACCTGAGCCACAGCTGACACGAACTCTTTGCTCCTCAGGGACTCAATGAGGGAGTGAATCGCGGTTTCGGTGCTGGCCTGGGAAGCCTCTGCAATCTCGATTTCCTCGATACCGCTGTCGGAGGCAGACTCGGCTTCTTTCAGACAATTCTCCAGCATGGCAAGTTCTTCAGACATATTTATAACCTGAAGCAAGCAGTAAGAGGGAGCTTCTATAGTTAAACCCAGCTTTGGCAAGGTAACTTTTAGCAGAATAGACACTTTACACATTTTTTCTCTTTCCACAGTCATGAGACAYAGAAACAGCACATGCAAGGCCAAGCTGCTGAGTATGCAGACAGTGTAAGGGGCAGTGTATGGATCCGCTGGGAATCTGGGCTTTCCTGGGAAGAAGCTTCACTCAGTCCATYCAAGTCAGCTCTTTAAACATTTGTTTCATAAAAGCAAAATTCTGTTCTCCCCATATCATTTGCAATCATAAAACTGACAAGGAGAGTTAAACACTTAGCAAAGTAAAACAAAAATGGTGCTACTACCAGTACAGCCTAAATATGAAGAAAAAAATCTGGAACACAGGTATAGTTACCCAGCAGAATATATTGACATCATCTATGTGCTATGTGTGCACAGCTCAATGATATATTTYTTTTCCTAATAAAGTCACTACAACTAAAACAGATGTCCAGGATGCATTCCGAACTGAGCTTCTTCAATCAGGGGCTAAGGTTGCAGCACAACTGAAYGGTGGCTGGAATTATTTATGATTGTATCATCAGTTTGTAGTAAGTTTGTTCATAATAGGAAACACTGTGGAGATGGACAGGGGATTAACCACAGAACTCCTCTGCTGATTAGACTTGATGCACCTTGATTGTAGCTTGATTAGGACACACCAAGAGTCCTGCTGCAATATTTAAAATTGTCATCCCAGGACTCCTGCACTCCTGTCTATTTAAAAGCTTTCAAGTACTACACGAATCAACACAGATAATTAAATGTGAGAAAATTCTTGCAAGTTCTACTTAAATCTTTTAATAACTGGTTACAAAAACAGGCAGTGCACTCTTTCAGGTTCTAAGAAGATGTCCTGCTGATAAAAATGTTAGCAAAATGTATTTTCAATTGTTTAGCTTTAAAATGTCAACTCTAAGTAGCTCAATGACGTGATGTCCTTTACCTCAGCTTCTTTTCGGATGGTGTTTACTTGGCTGATCAGTTTGCAATAGGCTTGAAACAGAAGCAGCAACTGAAAGTGCAACTTGTACAGCCTCCGACACAGCTCCAGCTCCTACAAATGCAAATGGCAATATTACTTCAGGAAACGCAAAACATCATCTAATATCCACGACCAGAGACAACAAATTATAGACAATTTGTACAGATTGTGCAAAATTAATAGTAGTTATTTGCTTATTGATAAAAATACCAAAAAGGTTTACAAGTTAATATAGCAAAAAGCTACGAAAAAGCTGATGAAAGCATCTTACAGCTCTTGATTTGTAAGCAGCCTTGTGCTCTTGCAGGTTAAACATTTACTTTTAATAAGAAGTCACATTTCCAGCAGGGRAAAAAAAAAAAAAGGATTCAAATGACATTTTAAAATGTCACGTTCTAAAGGAAGACTATAAGACTGCTTATTCTTACTGTTTATATTTCAGTGTCTTAAATTCAAGGTCTGATACCAAACATAAACAGTTGAGGCGTATAAGTATAGAATCTTTCCTAATTATTAATACAAATATGTAAAGCACAGTATATATAACCTGGCCTTTAGCTTGCTACTGTCTGACAGAAGAGAATAATTCCATAAGAATGCATAACAATAATGCAAGTTGTGATTTTCTTCTAGAAAATCCCACGATATATTTTTAAAGGACTGGAACAGTATTATTAGCTTGTGAAATGTCTTGCGTTTTTACGCATGTAAAACTAGTCAGAGTGGAGACRATGTCAATGCTGCTTCACATACAGACATAAAAGCTAATGGCAATGGAATAATCTTTTATTAACTTCTAACTACAGCACTCTGTTTTCTACAAGTAGCAACAGTTTAATGGGTTAGATTACGCAAACTGAAGCACACGGCACTGCTGTAATAGTCTATTTACATGACGTCATTTGGTCACAAATGGACAAGAGACAGATGGAGACCAGGTGTTGACTAGCAGGGTTAAGTATTCTGTAAATTAAGAACCATCACTTACTGCTAGAATTTCCATTTGCTAAGCAAGCAGATGAGCAGGTCACAAAAATACGAAGGAAGAAAAAAAGACCAAGAATTAGTGTAGGAAATCATTTTAATTAGGGTAAAAGATGTCCCGGGTCAAATGGAGTAAGAAATACAAGTAACATGCTCCAAAGGGTGGAAACAAGGAACAGATTGCGTTTGAGGTGCAGTTCGTATGCCCTTGCTGCCACAGATTACACTAGCTTTGCTGTCCCACAGCACGGGCCCCAGTTCACCTTACAACCCTTCCTTGCCAGTTTGCATTCTCAGTTACACAGCCTTAAAGGTATGCAAGCTTAAGAAATAAAATAAAAGGAAAATAAAGAACGGTTAAGTCTGAACATCTGTACTGTGCGTTTTACTTATTCTGAACCATGGTAGTTCTGGCCAAAAATGGGTCATAGTTTAACATTTCTGTATTTGAGATGTAAAATGTTTAGGAGAGAAGGGCAGGAAGAGAAAATGTCAGCAAACTTCTCCCTTAGGCTGGGGCAGGGAGTGCACTTCTGTGGTTTGTGCGGTGCTGAATGTACCCCCGGTGGCCTTCACACGAGTACAAAAGACAAGATAAGCATGTGAGGAATGTCATATCTATGTTTGATTACAACAGATAGAAGCAATGAAGGCTTATCAAGCTCATAGTTACAGACTGCATGCTTAATGGACTATAGACATCACTAATTTTAYTATCATATACAGAGCTCAGCCATCAAATAAGTAGTTAGGCCTGATGCACAGAGCATTTTGGAGAGGTAAGATCTTGAACTGCCAAAGTCAACAAGGATTTTATGGCAGATTTCCATGGAGCACTGAGACAAGACTGAGGGAAAGCAGAGGACATGAGTCCTGTGTTCTTAACTCAAGCCTCATTATTATTACATGGAATAAAAAAGGGAGGAGAGAAGCAYACTTTCAGGTTAGTTATTCCCAATATTCAATATTTTTATTTAAAACTGGTTTTGTGCAGCTTCAGTGACTTTCCCATCAGACTTGCTCCCTTTACCACGGAGCAGCCTTTCCTGCCGGCCAGTGCTGAGCACAAACACAGCCCTGCCGGCCAGTGCAGACGCATTCTTGCAGGCTGCCCTGTTACCACTAATAGTAAAAACCCAATAATTAGATTTACTTGCAAGCTGCTGGTGATGCGCGAGCCAGAACAGAGCTGCACTATTCCTCAGCTGTGCTGACCGCAAAGCAAAAAAAATAGTAAAAAAAATCTTGTTTGTGTTAGTGAATGAAGAATATCTGTTGAATGGAGGAGGCCCAGTTTTTATTTCTGGGCACACCACCACTTACAAAATGTAAGCATTCATTGGCTGACTGAAAAGGCTAATCAGTCCCACACTTCATTTCTCTATTTCTAAGGATCTTATGCTTGGTAACTTCTGAGTCTTCTGTAAGAACCCCCTTCAGTGCTCTGTTCACCTAGCTGTATGATGGGAACAGTAACATTTACCTTCACAGTTCTGTTACAGTGGCTTCTCAGGGGATATAAACAACAGCATTGTGAATACAGACAAATACATAAACGGAGCATTTTCAGCAGTAGAAATGAGACCAAGTGGCTCAACGAATAAAGTCAGACTGAATAAAAGGAATCAAATTCTCCCCTGTGCAGTTTAGGTTTGGGATGTGTTTCTTTGATGCTCAGGACTCAGGTCTCTTCTATTTAACACAGTACACCTTCAACATTTTGGAGATACGCGTTAGTATCAAGGTCTAATGTATTTACCTATGAAGAAGGTGGATCAAACTTCAAGCCCTTTTGTGCATAAGTATCAGAAATCCAGAGATACATTCTTGTTTTTTTTTTCCTTCTTTTTAAATGCTTTTTTCAAAATGGCACTGGGGCAAATGTACACTGGTTTGCTAGCTGTGATTCTACTGTCTCTTTCACTGTTCCTGTTACAGGACTCTAGATGGTAAGATTCACATCCCTGTATTAACTACCAGCTATGGATACCGCTGGGATTTGCTTTTTCTTTCTACAGCAAAAATCCTATGCATCTATTGCTAAAAAAAAATCATGCATGCAAATATATACAAAATATTTAACTAGYATGGATACGTGCTTGATTATATTTCATTATATGTTCGATTACATTTGACAGAAAWTTTTCATGAGATTTCTACCATCCTGCTGCGTAGCTCTCCACTCCTTCTCACCCAAATAATGGCTCCAGAAAGGTCATGTATATTTATATGGCATTAATTATATTAAGTCCTGTAGAGGCTTTTGGCTAGACAGCTTATCTGGGCACATAAGCAGAATGTCAATCCTTTTCCTTCTAGAAACGGCAGCATAAAAACAGCCTTGCTGGGACACAGATGATATCTACCCTGCTTATCTGCTCAGTGTTATTAAGCTCAGCCCCCAAGCCTGCCTGCTGACCTTTATTAAAAGAAGGCCTTTGTATTAGAGCACTACTTCATAAGAGTCACAGTTTTGAGAAGATAGCATGATAACGGAAATGAAAAGCTTGCTACATCTTTTTAATCTCTTTGCAAATATTGCCAGTTTTGTGCATCACTTCTGTGTTTTCAGCTCTCACATGCAGAGACTCCTAAGAGAGCTGCACCTACCTGAGCGTCTGTGTTAGCGCCATGAATGCCATCATCAGTACCAAATGTTCTCTTGCAGTCATCGAGCCACTGCAAAACAAATATAAACAAGACTGAACCTTCTGAAAGAAAGTGGCAAGTGATTAAGTTGCTCATGCTGCTTCATAGCATCTTGCACATTCCCAGATTTAATAACTGATTTATTATCACAGTTTCTTAACCAGTGTTGTTCCCTATAACGACTGCCACTGATGGCACCTCCTGGTGGTGSTTAGGGCGTCCCATCTGTTAGGAATTTCCTGAATTTCCTTGGCTACCCCACATGAAATTATCATAGTGTCCCACATGAAATGATGGAGCCCTCTCATGCTCACCAGTGCGGTCCGTGCCACTGGTGAGCATGAGAGTCCACAGCTGCCACTGCCTCCATCCGCCCTCGCTCCCCGCACCGCATCTGCTGCTCTCAGAGCGCAGTCCCTCTCTGTGAGATTTTCCTAAATAACCTCGCGGAGGAGGAGGAGGAGGGCTGACCCAAACGGGATTTGGTYGTGCGGTGCGATCTGGCCGTCTCCTGTGCAGGGCGCCCGGCGTGCTCCCCTGCGCCGCGCGGAGCAGCAAGGCTGGGCAAGGCTGAGCCTGGCAGGCAGCAAGGCCCCGCGCTGAGGTAAGCGCAGACTATCCTCGGAAAGGAGGYGCAGGCTCGACGCACTGCACTCTGCACGCTTCATATCGCGGATCCCTTGGGAAACCTCAGTGACCTTTTCCTAACCTTGGTCTGATGCAAGAAAAAGAAAAATGCCATTTCCCATCTGCTCAATTTAATAAAGGTTACTTAGTGAATTAACTAGGCCTGTGCTTATCGAGAGCAGAAATGGAATTCTCTAAACACTCGGCTGTCAGGTCCAATTAGTGCCATGGAGACCAATGTACACTGCAAATCTCGTTTTTCTTCTCGTCTGACAGCATTCAGCAGGAATAATGGGATTCGTTTGCAGGGGGGCTAAAAGCATCTGAAACTGGGAGGCTGCTATACRTTTTCACACACTGCTGTTTTAAGATATTTTTCAATCTTTGCACTGGTTTTAGAAAGGATATAGAATTTTATATAGATATAGCCTTTTATGATATATATATAACCTTATATTTTCTATTATATTTACCTGCTTATCGTTGCTTTTGTATGAAATCAAAAGCTGTTTTGTTTCACAGGAACAGATTAGTAACTCTAAAAAGGTGATAAAATTTGCTAAAAATTTGGCACAGAGCATACATTCAGCACTGCAGGCAGGACCTGCAGTGACTCTTGGGGAACAGGAACAGGCTGTGTGACCAAATAATCTCCTGTATACGTYTGCTTTACCCTGAGCCATTTCTTCCGAGCGACCTCCCTGCTGAAAGCACAAGCTGGGCAAGTCTGTGGTCACTGCTCCTCTCAGCTCATAGAGGATTCTGGAATTGCCCCAGGATGCAGATGTCAAAACCCTCCTCTGCTACAGGCCCCTTCCTTCTTCCTCTTTCCTATCTCAGGCCCCAGCTAAGCGTGTCAAGCAACTGCTGTCGAAGCCCCTTTGCGGCTTAAATTCTGCTTCATACGAACAGGAGCATCAATACAGTACATAGCACTGACACTAAGGTAACTATTAAATAACTTTAATTAAAATAAAGACAATGCACAGACTACATCCCAACCAGAYGAGTCTGGTCACTTCTGGCTTCTATGAGAAGAGTAGGGTGAGGTGGTGGAGGAATCTTGTTACATGTTTTGCCTAAATACTTCCTTCAGATCAAATGGAATACGTGATAAAATTGTCATCACATTTTTCAGTTTAAATGACAAAAATCCAGATTTAATTTGAGGGATTAAATCTGAGTCTCTTTCCATCCTTCTCTCTGTTTAATAGGATAAATACCTGAGAAATACCTTAAAATCAGCTTTGTAAGATTCTTAATCTTCATATAGTGTGTAAGAGACCAAGAGGAAGAAGAAAAAAAGAAAAAGAACTAAGAGCTAAAAGCTGAAGAAATTGATTTTTGTTTTAAAATTTTATAATAATATATTAGCTTCAGAGATACTTAGCCACTACTTTTAAATTAATATACTAAAAAAATACTAAAACAACAGGCTAAATTAACTAAATGGCACCCTTTTGATAGTCCTAAATGATTAGTCTCAAGCTATAAATTTTCTCCTCCTTGGTGCTGCTTATTTCTTTTTATAAATGATTGAATAAAAATAAAAACTAGCCAACTGTTACTTCTTAATGATTCTCCTGATCCCGTGAAACCTTTTTCTTGCTGCAATCACTCATAAATACTGTGCAGGAAGACAGGCTGACCACATAAACAKGTTCTTGGGCACCCTTTTGACAGCTTCACGACCAAAAAATGTGTGTTCTTTCACTGTGATAGAATGACAGAAGCCACCAAAGGYGTATCCAGATTTTTTTTTATGAGACAAAATAAAATGCAAACAAACTCACAATATCCAGCATGGATTTATATCTCTGTGGCACATGGCAGAATAAAATTAGTTGAAAATACCATTAAATCAATTCATAGCCATCTAAAAGGGATATAATTTTAACTTACAATACTGAAAACTCCACCAAAAGGTATCATTTCTTACTGTTATGATAAATCACGGGCTAAATGAGAAGGAATCTATATTAGGAGAATTTCTCAATACTGTTTGGTATAATCCATGCTGAGAGGATACCCACGAATCAGGGTTCCTCTCTATTCTGCCTCACTCAGTCTTTCTGCCTCACCCTGGGGCCAATCAGTTGGCCCCCCTGAGCCTCAGTTTTGCTAAAGTTAAAAAAAAAAAAAAAAAAAAGATAATAGATGCCTGTGTTGAGAAATAAAGACCTTTCATATTTTCTTGATAAGTTCTAATATTTATGTTTGAAAACATAAATGAGACTCACCTGTTCTGCTGCTTCTCTTTTGACATTATAGGTATCCAAGTGYTCCTGGAGCTCTAGCACACTGAATTTCAATGTTTCCAGCAGGCCACAAGACATTAGCTGAAAGATAAAAGCAAGCACCTCTGCAGTCAGCTATAATTAAATATGACTATAACCCCTATAGTCTGATATCTAAATAAATTATTAGATGAAATTCCATACCACCTCTGGGGGTTAAAAGGATCGCATGAAAACCCTCTGGGTATGTACCATTGATGGCACCTCCAAGTTTGCACTACTACCTGCAACTGCATCAGCTCCTATAGTTTTGGTTTCAAAGCAAGAAGGGCAGCACCTAGTGAATATCCGAATGAGATGGTCGTAGAGAACCAGGAACTGCTGAAGCGGGAGATCTGGGATATTTGAAGAATATCCTACTTTCTCAAATGCATATTTTCTCTTTCCCTTGGGGACCCACTCCTTCAGGGACCAATTACTTCCTCTCAGTAAGTCTAATGCCCAGCAAAAAGAACAATATTTTCTTCTCATGGTAGGTATTTTCATCCTCATTAGCCCCCAAACACATACATTTTTTCTTACGCTTGTAACAACCCTGCTACCCCAAACTGTTCTTGCATCATCCTTGGAGGCTTTTGGGACTCAGCTGGACTAAGTCATAACTGCTGAGCCCTCCTGTGGGGGACCTTCTGTAATTCTTTGCTYCAGACCTGTCTGCCATAAGGAACAGGTGCTAGTTTTCATAAATGATATGAAATGGTCACAATAATTTGTTTCTTTGATGAATAGGGTTGCTAAGCAATAAACACATCACAGAAGAAAAATTCCAACATTTCGAAGCTTTTTGTTTAGATTTGCTCATTTGCCCAAACTGGACAGGCACGTAAAAAAACTATTTTCATCCTAATGCAGATAGTGAAAATCTGAGTAAGTATGAGAATTTGCCAGTATAACTGCAGCTATGCATGCAGTGTGTGTCTGTGTGTATATTTATATACAAATATATTTGGTGTTCTGTGCACAAAGAGTTCTACCTACACTGGTATAACTCTTCTTGCAGCTTCTTATTCCCAAAGAATTTTCTTCTTCTAGATAATTTATGCTGCTTTTAAAGTGGTATACATTAAATTAAAAGAATATAGACGGTCCYCTTGAAATATATTCTCCATTTCAAGATTTTTTTAGTTCCTACTAAAATTTTTTTAGTTCCTTGGTTTTGGCTGTTTTGATAGGCACTAGCCTTATTTTTTTAATCAAAAAAAAMCTTAGATAATGTTTCAGTTAGTGACAAGTTAGACAGCAACCTTTTAACAGACAAAAATATAACTACTTCATTCAGACATTTAAAAGTTTTCCTCCATGTTGTTTATAAATAATAAAATATTTTCTTGTATTTTACATAAAGATGTTTAACTGAACGGATGTCTCAGCATTAAATTAATAAGATTTTTACCGTTTCTGCATCCACAAAGACTGTCGGACATTCTGAACATAACATCATCACTTCCAGTGAGCTTTTAAATTTTGTTCCAATTCGCTGCAGACTCTCACCCAGAAAGCTGACCGAATCATTTGTTATAGCCACAAACTTTCTTTGAATGGTCTAAAATGCAAAAGTCAGAAATATTTTATATTACAACCCCCTCCTTTCACATTAAGGATTTCTGGGCAACCTATAATCTTGACAGCATATACTGCTACATTAAATTACAGCAACACAAATTAATATATATTTTATCATACACATTTACAAAAAGCTAGTTCAGAAAACAACRAAACAAAGCAAGTAAATATGAAGAGAGTTATTCGTCTCTCAGCCTTTAGCATCAGGATATCTTAATGACTACATAACTTTATGCCATACAGACAGCAGTTCCCTTTGTTTGTTGTTTGTATTGCAGAGAATTACACATTCAAATTTTCACAAGTCAGACAGAATCTGTGAGACAATTTGCCTCCACAGCTACCACCTGCAGGGTCTTCACCTTCTACAAATATCCATATATACACCACGTTTGGTTATGAAGACTATATGCTTAATCTAATGCTACATTTTACACGGCTACATAATCCTAGAATGTTACCTATAGAATAGAACTATATAAAGATGATAGTGCTTGTAAAGTGGTTGTTACCCTGAGGTAAATATAAATCGAGAGAGCCATTTGTAACTTCTGGCTTTAATGGATCTCCTGGAGTTTCATTTCCTTCTCTGCAGAAGACTCCTCCTCACAAAGAGAAGCAAGACTAATTCATTAACATTTGTCATGCTGTGATCTAGTAATAACGAACCCACAAAAAAACCAGGAGAAACCATTAACAACTGTGTAATCAGCACTGAGCTTGGGTGACATTCAACAAAATAAAAGGAGGGGCACAACCTGCACTAAGAAGTAAGAAACAGCAAAGAGCTAATTTATTTTCTGAGCAGACTCTCTCCAACACAGTGCAGCAACACAGCAGATACCCTGTGGAAAATTTGTGTAYGATGATATAATGTTCTTGAACAACTTTTTTTTTGTCTGCTTCTGATTTACTTTAAAGAGGATTCTTGCTACCATAACCTTAGAGCTTTTGCATTTCTAGAGAGGAAGAGGAAGAATAGTTTTTAAAGCAGAGTAGAAAAACAGTCCTTGGCAGCTCACTGACCTGAAACAACCTGGAGAAAACATGAAAGGTGTAAACAGCACAAGAGCCGTCTGTATCCGAGAGCATCTGATTGACGTGGCAGCGCCAGGCCTCCTCCTCATCCTCGCACGGCACCGGCTGGAAGGCGGCCAGGATGGCCGAAAGGAACGGGGAGGGCGGCGGGGAGGCCTGCGCTTCCGGGAAGCCGTCCTGCTCCTCCTCATCTTGGCTGGAAATGGGAAGCAACAGAAACCAGCTTAGCAGGAAAAGAAAAAGAAATCGGGGAATGTTAAGAAAAATGAAGTTTTGGTGACAGAAAATTAAGAAATCGGATAGAAATGTGTTTTGCAAAATAGATGATCAACTGAAGTAATGATGAACCAAGAAAAGGGTAATAAAATGCAAGAGTTGCTCCTACAATATAAAAAGTTACTCATAACCTCAAATATCTCCAAAGTTTTTTAAAATATGTTATTTCTATGCATGTGTACAAAGCACTATCTGCACATGTTACATACACATACACAGACCTATACAAAGCACTATAGATGCATACCACACAGAAAGAGATGTTTTTATTGCTTCAAATAACGGAATTCAATTCTTTGAATCTAAACACACAATCCACTAATATCACTGAGTAACGAATTCCATCATTCCTTAAGAGTGCTCTTTTATAGTACAACAATATCCTAAAACTCTCCTAATTAATAGCCCTAAGTGAATGAAGATAGATTGGAGCACTTTCATTTTTATGGAAAATCAATTTTACAGGCCTTTGTTCARATAACATTCATCAATACTATTACTTTACAACCATTAACTTAATTGTTAAAATCTTCTGTGTTACAAACAATGAAGCATTTTTGACAATGCTTCTGAATGTTTGTACAGCAAAAGCATGATGGTGGATGTTCTAAGTATAGATACCTATTAAAGTACTTTTAAACACATACAGTTTTTCCTCTGTAACAACCACTTCTCAGCCACAGAGACTCTATGCAGGTCTCAAACAAGACTTACATGTACCCCACAAAGCGTCACTCACGATGCCACCCCAGGGATGCTGGTTTGGGGTACATCTATTAACACAGTGCCCACAAAATCTCAGGCACAACCCTTTCTGCAGGTTACCAACAAGCAAAGCTTCCAAAACAATTTTGGATACTTTCTACTTGGCGCACTGTAGCACACGCTCATCAGCCCTGTGTCACTCTCAGAGAGAAAGGGCTATTGAGGTTTTTTGCTTCTTTGCTCAGTGTAAATAAAGGTATAATGGATTTTGGTTGCATGATAGGAAATAGCCACTCTTAATTGGCACCAGCCTTTAATTCTTGCAGAGCACATTACAGTACATTTTATACAAGACTGTAAGATTCAAATTCCTCATTCCTACCCTAGCTGAACCTTCTCATTTTCAAATTCTCCATCCAGACCTGCTTGTTTATCTCCAGCTCCTTTCTGTAAGGGGTTCCTTAAATGAGCTCTCTCATAGAATACACACTGATCTTCCTGTATTATTCAATGCAAATGTCTGAGCAAATTTTAATTATGAGCAAGCCTATGAACAATTATGTTACTGGATAAAGTGTTTTGCTGTTGTTATTGTTCTCCCTTGCTCTTAAATGTTACCTTCAAGGAACTTAGGGTTCCATTTTGAATTCAGCTCAACCAGCCAAGATTAGCTAGGTCTTTGTCTCTCTCTCTCTCTCGTTATTTTCTTACCATATTCAAAACAGAAGACATATTTAACTTAAAGTGTCAGGTTAATCGGAGACTGATTTACCTGAACAATGAAAACCTTGGATCTTGGACAAATTCAAACAGATTCTGCCCTGAATTCTACAGCAGTTTTGATCAAAGAGCACCATCTTCCTCTCTCCTGGGCCATCTGGGTGCCAAAAATAGTTTCCGCCATAATTCACAGCAGTTCAAAGGCCTTTTCATGTTATACTGCTTGCATCTGGTGGCTGCAAGAAGTGCTCCAGAATTCCCTCTAACTTCTTTTCATGTGTCTGTTCTACTGATGGTGTAGGAATGTGCCGGGTTTCATTGACAGAATCACAGAATGGTTGAGGTTGGAAGGGACCTCTAGAGATCATCTAGTCCACCCTCCCTTGCTCCAGCAGGGACACCCAGAGCACAGGGTGGCATCCAGGCACGTTTGGAAGATCTCCAGAGAAGGAGACTCCACAACCTCCCCAGGCAGCCTGTTCCAGAGCTCAGTCATCCTCACAGGAAAGAAGTTCTTCCTCACATGTACATGGAACTTCCTGTGTTTCAACTTACACCCACTGCCCCTTGTCCTACCAGTGCCCACCACTGAGAAGAGTTTGGCCCCATCCACCCTACATTGACCCTTCAGGTATTTACACATACTCAAGGACTCTTTTATCTTTTCCTGCACAGCGGCTTTTGCTCTTCCACAAACTAGTGCTGAGCTGTCACGGAATGAGTGGTGGCAGGGGTGAGTGACAAAGTACTGAGCTTATTTGCTCAACAGGCAAAAACAATCAAACATTATTTAGAATATGCGAGTATTATTTTAGCGATCTGTATCTGAAACGATCTGAAACACACCAAGAGGAAGCTTCCTTGGTTAGATTCATGCGCAGGATAACATGCAAGTTGTGTTAGAACTGATGTGAATCTTACCTCGACAAACCAGAGAAGTCAGCTTCTTCTTCTTCACATCTCTCATCCAGCTCTTTCAAAGCAAGAGTGACATCCTCTTCACAGATAGATTCACAGTAGCTCTCAGGAGCTGCTGACTCTGCCATTTCTGGAGTCTCTTCCAACTCAAGAGACTCGTGACAGATCAGAGGGTCTTGTTGTTCCTGAAGGACATATGACCCTGTGTCTTCACTAGCAGTGCTAACCTGTTCATCCCTTACTGCTGGACTGCCTTCCTGTAAATCAAGTATTCTTTATTACTTTTACTGCAGGACTTTATGCATTCTTATCAGTTTTTATTAAGGTAGAATACGAGATCTATAAACAAATGTTTAAAAATACTCAGTTATACTTTTATCATTCATCACCTTTAGATGAAAATAAACACAGTGTAGACYTTCATATTATGCTTTTCCAGGCATGGACCAAAATAACTTCCCCATCGTTGTTTCTTAGGCCTGGATCCACTATGGAACATTTTGTCATCTTTTTAACCTCTATTTTCAGACGTTCCTCAAGCATAGGTGAGTAACAGCATAACAGAGGAAAAGATGTTTTTGAGAGACTCCCATATTTTAGTCATCACAAAACCTTGGACTACACCACAGTTTGAGCTTGCTTCTATTTCTCTTTGCATCCTATCATCCTTTTTTGCCACCAGTCTGTATGGCTGAAACCTTTCCCAGATAATGCTGCAGGCTGATAAGACTTCCATGCAGCRGGAAGGAGCCAGTCATTTGATTATCGGTCTGAATTCTTCAAGGAAGACAAACCATAGAAGTTCTCAAGGACACACTCGATATACACAAGATTTCTTTTTCCCTTGTGAAATCTAGCATTTTATGGAACCAAGACATAAAATTTGAAATATCATCTAAAAATGAWGAATTTGTCCTTGAGATTTTAAAGACATAATTTGGTAGCAAGTTCACTGTGAAGCACTACAAATAGCGTTTGCAAAATTTTCCAGTCCATACATGCTACATACTTAAMACTATGCTACCATATTTCAGTTTTTAATGGTGGTCATTCTGCCAATAGATCAGTTTAGATGACTAATGAGAACCAACTACACGGACACTCTGAGGTAAATATGCAGCGTTACTTCTATATTGGGCAGCACATCAATATCAATTCTCTGTATTTCCATTCTGTGGTCTGTGGGACAAACATTAACAATATAACTAAACTACAGCACAGTCTTAAGCTATAGTCCACTGCAGCTCTGCACCACAAAGGCCATTCCTCCATCCCCATTAATTTCCTTAAAAAATACACTGATTTTTAAGTGTAGTAGAAACATAGTTTTTTCATTCTATGGACAGAGGAAAACCTCATTCAAATGTCAGCTCTTGCCTTTGGTATAATGCATTTTATGGGATGCTGTTGAATCACAAAATTATTTTACAGTCCAGTTTAAGCTCCATATCCTGTTCAAGATTTTAATTAAAATATTAGAGCATTTTGGTGAATGTTTTCACTCATTATGAKTTATATTATGGGTTATGAGAGGTATAGTGATCTCATAAAGGGAGCTGCAAAGGAACAATGAATCTAGAGTACAAAGGCAGTCTTGAAGGAAATAAGAAAATGCAAAAATGAGTTATTGCTGAGACTCTACCAGGAGCAGACAATAAAGATGGATAAAAAGTTCTCCTAAAACAAGTCACTTAGAATTCAAGAAAAAAAMCCTAACATAACATGTTTTTATCTGCAACTGTTAAATATAGTAGGAACTTAACATATTATAACTTTCATTTTAAATTAGTTCTGTGATTTTAAATTATTCAAGGATTTAAAAAATATTATTCAAGAAATTCAAGTACTCACAGATTTTCAGGCGCCCATTAGCTTGAAATCTGTCTCACTCCACACAGGCCTTTCCAAAAAAATATACCACTAGCTTCTGTGGTCCTTTCTAAAGGATTATTTGATTGAACCAACTGCTAACACAGCTGGCCTGAGGTTTTATTCCCACATAGCACCAATCATATTAACCCAAAGAAAGCAAAAAAGGAAATAAAAAAGTACTTGAAAGCAAACATTGTTCAAGGAGGATTTTGACCACATCAAGGTAAAGCATCTTGAATATCAGCCTATTCCATTCTGCACCACAAAATGCTCATTATCAGCCCTTCAGGAATATTTTTAACCTGTAGTGAGTTCCCTCAGTCCAACACAACTAATTTTCATTCTGAGGAAACATTTTGTAAGAACACTTCGACAGGTTAGAAATATTAAAAGCAAATCAAATAATYAGTGTAACAGATGAAAATTCAGATGAAAAGAAAGTAAAAGCTGCTACAAAACACTAGAAGGAGCCCAAATCAGCCATGCACCAGCCCACATTTCTCCCCACCTCAGGCAGCTGGTTGCTAGAGTTATCTAGAGGAGAAGCCTCCAAACTTGGGGTTTCAGTTCTGATTTGAAGCACCTCTTCTGTCCCCACACTGCTAGTGGAATCCTGAGACTGAAGGGATAAACCAGCATGATCTGATATTGTTTCATCTATGGCAGAATCGTTGTTTAACTAAGGCACAAAAGAAAGAAAGGTGATACTCATGATAGTTCATTGAACATATAAATTATATATACACACACACACATATAAATATAAAGGGAAAAACATGTTAAAGGGTTGTCTCAGTACAGCTGTTTGAATATATTTACATATCAAGTTTAACAACTTTATACTAGACACATTACAAGCAACACAATCCACTTCTGTAACATTTAACTTCTCTTCAACATTTGAGGTTCTCTCTGATATACAGGGATATTCTCTCTCGTTTTCAAAGCTCTTGGCACTGGCAGAAATGCTCAGCACTGGCAGAAATGCTCAGCTAGAAACACTGAACACCACAGCTCTTTCTTCTGGGCAACGTTAACACAAACTTTGCTTCAAGTCCTAAAAGGGTCAAACTCTATTGCTCCCCATTTCCTTCCCTTAGTCACTTTTTTCCTAATTCCATTTTTGCAATATGAAGAGACTTCTGAATAGGCTTTTTTTTTTTTTGATTTCCTCATTCATTTTTATAAATGCTTCAAAATGAGTAATTAATTTAGCAATTTCAATGGTAAAAAACAACCAAGGCTGCCATGGAGATCACTTACTGTTCATGCCTTCACTATTCTAGGGTTTTTTGAAGCTAAGGATCYACAAAGACACAAAATAGCACTTTATATGCTATTTTATGTTTATRTTTAAGCAAAAATAGCAAGTATTCCAATTTTAATACAACATTCAAAGAAGATGAACATTGTACTAGCAGTATACATCTATTATGTATTTCTGGTAGGGTAATTTTTTTCCCTTCATTGGTGTGACTGTGAAAAAAGAAGTGTAAACCAGATTAGTTTAATTCAAAGCCTYTGACTGAAACCTGACTTACCATCTGCGAACGAGAGAGTATCTGACTTGCAGTTAGTGCTGCTTCCTCTTCTGAAGACTCATCCGTGTCTTCCTGGTTAGTCAGGTTCAAGCTGGGAGTGCTTCCAGAGTACTGACATTCCTGAAGGGATGGAGTGTCCCCTTTGTCAATGCTGTCGAGGGAGCGCCTCCGAACCCCCCAGTTGAAGTTGTCCATGCTTTCACCCTGTAAGAAAAACAGGTTACACACATATATATGTATGAATTTAAATGCAATAAAYACATAAATGCAACAGAGAAGACAAGTGCTGAATGCATTATGAACAGAGTTTCAATCAGCCCTTTAATTTTAATAAAATTTCAGTACCTTGTTAAATTATGTTTTTAGACAAATTAAAATATATGGCAAATGAAGTATACTTCTTTTGATTATCTTCTTGGGAAGTAACTCGATATATAGTCTACGTAATCTTAAAGGAAAATTTTTATATATTTGACTAGAAATACAAACACACCACAGACAACAACAGATGAACAAGCCACGGCACCAGGCTGCAACTTACCTGCAGCTCCTGGTTAGCAAAAAGGAAAACACATAGAATTAGAAAGAACGAGGACAAACACTTAAAAATACTCTAGAACCAGGGAAAAATGTTTTATTACATAGGATTTGCCAGCAGTAAAAGACTGATTCAAGCTCTGAAAAACGCTTTAGTTAAAAAAAGCTAATGTTTAATATACTTCCATTTACTCATGGGAGATTGATTATTTAAAATAAATAAATAAATAAAACTGATGACAAAACACCAAAGCCAGCATGGTTATGGTACATTTTTTTTAGTGGAACACATAAAGCAACTGTTTTAACAAACATCAGTGAAATTCTTCAACTAACATACACGAAGCTGAAGTTATCACATCCAACTGAGAATGCATCATCAACATTAACTTTATTCAGGTTGCAGAAGGACTCATSTCTTCACTTACTGTTCTACTACCAGGTATCATGTGTCAGCTCTATGAAAATTATGCTACATATCAACAACTGGATCCTCTCTGCATTCACACTTCAGTGCTGGAACACTTAGTACGATAAATATTTGCAACCCAAGTGAAATGTGTGTCTTAAGTCACCATTTGTAAACTCATGAGGACAACAACCATCTTGGAAGCACTTTGCCAACTTTCAACATCCAGTAAGGATGAAAATCTAATCTGAACACTTTGCCAGCGTACAGCCAGTTACTGCAATACCACATCTAGGCCCAAACTTGCAAGGAYTGGGTTCCAAAATTGCTCTAAAAAAGTGTATCCTGAAGTGACTTAAGAGGTTAGCCTTAGGCTTTAAATATGCAGAGCAAACAAAGCTTTGTGGCTTCTCTTCTCTCTAAAAGATTTGTTCTGCTCCAGTACAGGGAAAAAATGAAGTACTACTTCCCTGGGCCAAAAGCATTTACAGTACWTAGGCTGTACATGAATATTACTCAGATTTTAATTTGAAGGCCACAGTTCATACTGCTAGCACTTAATAATTAGCAACAAAGAATATTCTGTATTTTTGAAAAGCTAGATATTTACATTAAGAGCACAATTTAAGTYATGCCCTATATTTGTACATTCCGTGATCTTTTTACTTTGCAAGTTTAGCACTTCACATTGCATAYAGGCAAGAAATTGCCTTCATTCCGACATGTTATTAAAATAATAAGGCAAATGAAGGTATAAATTAACTCAAACTTGGCGAAGTTTTCAGCTTTTGGCATCCTACCTGTAAAGTCCCACCTGAGTATTAAAATAACGCTTTTCTATTCAATCTTGATGATTCTGAACTGTATGTCTACTTACATTTAACATAGGAAATTGTATCTGTTTAGGGTGAAGTCACATGTATGCAATAGACCAAAATGAGCCTCTAATTTTCCTAGAAGATGCAAATATTAGYAGAAGTGAAGCAATACACAGGAAGCATGAAGTAAGGGAGATAAAACTAGAGTGTTATGGAAGAAAGTAAGATTCTGTAGAAAGAGCCAGATAAAACAGGAGAAGGAGAAAGATTTTAGAGTTTAGATAGGATAACCCTTTTGGATAGTCTGCCGACTCTGACCAACAAAGGTCTCAAAAGTCAATATTTTGTCTACAGGAACAACAAGCGAAAGAAACTACTGAGTATTCAGCTTTTCCTGCTTCTCCCCTGTCATATTCTTAAGGTCTCTCAAATTCTGGTCTGAAGCCTCTTAGGTAATTGTTAATGGAATAKTTAATATATCTTGATACTTCATTTCTTTTTTCCCTCCCCTCTTTTTTTGACGAGAGGAGAAGCAGAGCAAGTGGAACAACTACAACAAAGCAGAAGTTACAGTGCAAGCAATTATGATGATTGAGTGAAATAATCTAATATAATGAGATAGTATAGCGCAGAGTTGATAACTATTCATGTTTTAGAAATGTAGAAACACACCAGGAACAAAGATTAGGCCGTTTTCTTAAAGTCTTCTTCCATAATTAACCTTTCTATTACAGTGTACCCAGAGGGTCACCCTGTCACTGGCTTATATTGTGATATTACTTCACTTTCAGAATAAGTCCCCAAGTCAAAAAAAAAAAAAAAAAAAAAAACAAAACCAACCATTTTAAGCAACTTATCTTTAACAGCGAAAGTTTTTGATAAGGATTTCTTTTTTTTCATCATGCAAGTGAACTTCTATCATGTTATAAATTCTTCTCCACAGGGTTAGTTAGAAAAGCTGCCAATTCCTTTGAGTTGCACCAACATAACCTAATTTTCAGAACATTCTCAAATGGAAGTACACAGAAGAAATCCCAAGGTCTCACCTCTGCATCTTCCAATTCAACATCTAAAAAGTCAAAGTCTTTAAAAACTCCAAATTGTTGTTCACTGGTATTGTCTTCCACAGCCACTTCCTCTTCTTGAATCACTTCTTCTGTGGTTGAAATAAGACTGGTTTGCTGGTCTCCAACTTCCAAGTCTTCATTAGAGGAAAACACAACCTGCAGAYAAAGGCAAAAAACAGCAATAAAAACTCCCAACTTCTGGTTCTCCAAAATCCAGCAATTTCGCTTCCCACAGTTTCATGGAAACAGTGGCAGCTTAGAAGGTACATAAAATAAAGACACAAGGGCAACTTCAAGGCTACATGGACTTCAGACTACATCCATAAAAGCAGTGATATCATTCTCTCCTGCAGTGATATCATTCTCTCCTTAATGTCTCTGAGCTTTCTTTCAGAACCACAATGAACCAACCATAAATCAAAAAATTTATCATAATAATCTTATCTGCATGACGTAGCCCATAGCATTTTCACAGCAATTTCTGTGAAATTACTGTGTACCTTTTAAAAATCCACCCAGTGATGTCTTCGAGCGATAAAAATTCTGAGGTTTAAACATCCTCCTCAATTACTATTTCCTCTTTATTTCCATCTGAGATTTGCTAAACTTGTTTAGCTTCAGGTTTCAGGCATCTTATTTTATTACATGCTCTTCTGGTAAATTAAAGATCTCTCTCCCATCAAAACCTTTCCCCAGCTACGAACGTTCACATCACAATAAAGCAACACTCCAGATGATAAGCAGACTGTCCACATTATTTTAAAAGCCCTTAAAGTGTCATCACTGTGGTWAAGCACAGTGTACTAACGGTGGCCTCTCCAGTACTTTTTGCAGTAGCTGAGTAGAATACCTGAATACAACAGCATTCCCATTACAGGGACTTAAGAGAACAACATAAACCACCAGCAGCACTTACTGAAGGATTCTTGGGAAGCCCAGACTCTGGTCCACACAGAGAAAGCACATTCATTAGCTTCTCCCTTGTTCTTCTCTGAAAGATACACAATAAATAACATAGAGCAAAGCACCTATTACAGGTTCAAGTAAAAATATTAAATATCTGGATTTTTAAGTTACCATCTCACATGCAGAGGTTCTCTAAAATTAATTTAATATATTTTTTTCCTCACTAACTTCTGGCTTAGAGTATATCAACTGACTAATTGCCAAGACCTAATGTATATTTCAAATTAAATTTCTCCGTGTATTTTTAATCACACATTCATAAACACTACCTACATTATTTGCTTACTATGCCYGAGACACATAATGTACCTGAGATAGCTGTGGTCTCTTCCAGCTGACAGGAACTAATGCATTCGAATTGGAGCCAGAGGAAGTTGAAGAAGTGCTCCGGGTGACCGCAATGACTTTGGGCTTCCCATTTCTACCAGCAGCGCTGTGTTGATCACCATATTTATTTCCAATAATTGGTGTCTACCACAGAAGACAAATACTTCTTGGAATTCAAATCCATGTTAATAAAGACTATGTATTCAATTTTAGAAATATTAATATTGCATAAAATACAAAGGGTGTGTTATATTTTAAGTCTCCATACCTAACACATGAACATTGAGCACCCACATAACAGTGGTAGTCTGAGAAAAACAAGGCTGAAAACTTTTACCCTACCCAAAAGGCCATCATTCTGCCCTTTCCTATCTTCTGAAACAGATCAATTTCATAGTGGAAATCTAGGAATACTTTAAAATACACTTTAAATAATAACTATGTTCTAAGTTTACCAGATGTAATGCATTTTTCTGGATGAATTCATGAATATTAACAAAACATTTTCACACTCCAGAAACTTCACTAAAATGCTACAGTCATGAACCCTTATTTCTGATTCCTGCCGAAGTTTTCTACACTTTTCACATCCCTGCATTACACTGCAGATATACAGATATACAAAGGCTATCAGCTACACTAATATATTACTTCCAGATCTAAAGTATCCTCATTTTCTTTTCTTTTTTAACCAAAGGAATTTGTCTTAAACTGCATCCATATCCACACATTCCTGCATTTTCTATCCTCTCCTCTCCTCAAAATTCTACTCTCCCTTGTAGAATTAGGACAAAACTGGAATACAGGATCTTAATCCTCTCAGCCCTTGAACGTACAACCCTTTATTTTGTAAAGGCCAAGAATGTTCAGACACAGAAGGCAACTAGCTGCATTATCCTGACTCTCTGATTGAGCTGAAATACCTTTATAAACAATCTTACTGGCTTTAAGTAAACAACTCTGTAAAGATATTCAAAGAGGAAAACAGCAAAAATAGAATATAAGAGAATATACATTTTGTTTTTCAGTGTAACTCTAATTATGTTTCAAATATGTAAAATTTGACTATACTTATTTTATCACATACACAGCCAGAAGACTAGGAAAAAACAAATGTGAGTTTGCCACAGGAAGTCATCATTGTATTTTAGCTCAAACTACAATAATTACCTCGGATATATCAAAATGAAAATCTAATGTCTTCCCAGGTAGCTCCTTGGAGACATTATTAAAAATTTTTGTGAAGGAGATTTCAGGAGAACCTATTTCACCTCCGTAAGACTTCGGAATATCATTAGGTACAACAAGGCTTGCTGACCGAGACACCACTAGTTTCAAAATATTAAGGGCTTCTTTCCAATATGGACTCTAGAGAGAATGAACATAAATCACAAAACAATTACTTCAAGAAATTCAAAAGCTCCAGCCCAGCTTACTCGATGCAGTTCACAGTGCCAGTCACAGTAGATCTCAACATTTTTTGCTACTGTCTCCAGTATCAGCTCTTCCTGCCCCATAAAACAAAATAGTATTGGAGGGCAAAACGATTTCTACCTCCTGGCTATTATTTTAAACTTAAGGGGAGAAAAAAATGAATTTAATAYATGCTGGTATCTTGCATTTTTTGTATTTCCTTGTGCATTTTCTTGTGCATTTTGGAGATCTCAAAACAAAAATTTTCCAAATTTTTATACAGCATAAAACTGACACAGTGCATAAAATGTCAGAGCAGGAAAATGTGAATCTGAAGGGCAGAGCTTGAGCTAATTGTACTCTCCTTAAAAGGATCATGAATGAGGAGTAAATAACTTATCACTTCCAACTGCAGAGATTGTGAGTGGGGAAGAGACAGGCACCTTGGGAGGGTTAATCTTTATATTTGTGAAATGCTAGGACTCCAACTGCAACTCAACTATCTCAGTTTCTGAAATTACATACAAGACATCTTTCTATCAGGATATCACATTTTTTACAATATATTTTTATTTAGTGACTATATGCAATACAAATGGTTTTTTGTGCGTACTAAGAAACCGTTTAGTAGTATCACATTTAAACACAGTATTTTCCTTTATAATCTTTTCTTATCTAAATTAACACATTTTGTCCTATGAAAAATACATATGCTTCTCTGGAATATTTTATCATTATTATCCGTATTTTGACAGCTAATATCTTCTAATTAAGATTAAATTCCTTGACGATATGTGGTTGGAGGGAAAGCTCAGATATGGTTAGCGGGCAAGTGAGCAGACATGAGGCCACAAGAAATACAGCTGCACTAACCATTCCATTTTGCCCAGTGCACTCTGACAGAGGCACAGTATCTGCAGTATATATCTACTGAGCACAATGTCTAGGGAACACTATTTTTCCTGGGTAATTATGATTAAACCACTTCACTGATCTCCATTTAGAAAAAAGGAAATTCAAGGATAAAGAAAAGAGAGAAAAAAGGAATGTAGAAGAATGTTGCAGATTGAAATGGTTGTATGCTCCAGGCAATTTTATAAAATCTTTCAGCAACCTGCTAGCCTTTATTCCAGAGTTTTCAGTAAATTATGTTTGAAATATGAAAGAGTAAATTACTTAGAGCAAAATACTGATGTTTGTCTTTTGGGGACTGTCTTTTAGCAACAACAACAAAAATGCACTTGAACTCATGCAGATGGAGCTTAATGTTTCTGTCATGGGCAGATGCACTTGTGAAAATGATTCAAATATGTATTTAAGTGAAAAGCTTCCTTTTGAAAGAAAATACACTTAAATAAGAAAATTCTACTTGGAAGATTTGACAGCAAACCTGTTTCTTACTTACAGAGTTACATTTTAAAAGTTAAAAGATTCTGAGGGACGTAAACTACATCTGTACACAGCTGCACTGAGGCAACTTGTCCCACAAATTAGAGAATGTGTATAATGAATTAAATACATAGTTCAGAGATTAAATACATAGTTCAGAAATTAGTATATTATAGAATTTGACTTTGAACATCTATTTTTAAAAAATCCAATAAATTACTACACCACAGGCAAAAAATGTTTAATTTCACTACGACTTTCATAAGAAGCAGAACGCATATTTTATAGCTTTTCAGAGTACCTACCTGGACATATTTACCAATAACTTTTATGATCTCCAAGTTGAACTGTTTCACTGGTGCTGTGGACAGGTCAATATGACTCAGAAGACTGTAGATGATCTGCAGTAAGGACTGCTGCATACTGGCTAACCCTTTCTCTAGTAGCTAAAAAAAGGATTTGAAAACACAAACTTTAATTAGAGTGTTTAGCAGCAGTCAGTGAAAGCGAACATCAAAATTTAGCTATTCCCTCCACATACTTATTTTTCCCTTCAAGAAACTCTGGTGTTCCACTTTGTTTTTCAACATTCTTTTAGCTTAAAAAGAAAAATCAATGCAAAAGAACTACATGATCTATCCTAATTCATTTTTCATAATAATTTTCTTCATTTATTAATAGAATGTAAGCAGCTGTAAGTACAGACCTGAACCACCTTATCACAAAAGACTCCTCACCAAGTTAGAAGAGTTCTTGTAAATTCAAAATTCCAAATCTTACATCATTTCGGCATATACAATCTTAAGTACATTTAACTTCATGCATGAGAAGCAACAGATAGTATCAAGGTAAACTCAAGGTTTTGCCCTTTTGTGTACTAATCATTGCCGCTTGCCATGTGCGAGAATAGTCTGCTGTCATTCTCCATTATGGAAGATGTGTCCTTTTCCCAATATTTAGAACCGTGAAAAATAACTGAGTGGCAGTGAGTAAATACAATGTTTATCACAGGTTGTCAAAATGAGATACACTTCCAGTAAAATTTACCTCTGCGAGATAAGTTACAAGGTTGAATGTGATATCTGAGAAGGAGTCATGCAAGTATCTACACACTACATTAATCCAGTTAGAGCAGTCTCTGGAATAGCTGTGCGTGCTGTATAAGCTCATCATATGAGCCAGATTGGCAAGAGTTGGTGATTTCTCCTCTGCACAAACCTGAGAAGCAGATACAATCATATTAGAGGACATAATTTTTATCTAAGTATTTATGAGTCATTATTTATTTTCCCAGATTTCACTACACCATATTTTCCAATGACTAAAAGCAAGCTACCAACATCTACACTTTCTTCTGTAGAAACCCTTAAAACTTACCAAAAAAAAAAAAAAAAAAAAAAAAAAAAAAAAAAAAAGAATTACTTGAGGTACTTAAAATTGCTTTCCAAAAACAAAAACTTAGAGATTTATTGAATTTATATTTAAACTCACAAGCTTCAAAGTCAGAGAAGTCAGAAAAAGCAACATATCATGAATAACACAGACATTTGTTCTTTACTTCTAAAGTTTACAGAATAAGCTAAATTAAGGGTTGATATGAAGACCAATTTATAAATGAGAGCTGGATCAAATCCTTAAAATACTTTTTTGTGTTTTAGCCTGACACTATTAGCCATATAGAAAAGTATTACATAATGGAGTGGAAAATAAAGAAACACACAAGTAATAAAAATAAACTTCTGGACACTCCCCAAACACTTTAGTTACCTACCTTTGCTATCCTGTCAGCTGTTTCTTTACAGAACTGAGTTGGGTTATCAAAATGTTGGATCAGATGAGGAAGTAAGCACAAGATGTTTAGGGGAAATCCTGCGCACAAAATAATATGATTATATGATCCCTAAGAATTTTAGGAAGACTTCATATAATGTGAAGTGATGTCAACATTCAACAGCTTTCTAGTATTAAATAATTTTTACAACCTACACACATTATATATATATACATATATGGGTATATATGCAAAATCWTGTGTATAAATATGAATAAAATAAAAATAAAATCATCACATGACCAATTARGCAAAGCATTTGAGAAAGTCAGTATCCTCAGGCAGTAGATGTGATACTGTTTCTACAACGTGTAAAGGTTAGAAATAGTACTAAGTGTCACCAGGGTCACATTGTGATTTGTGGTCACAAGGAAACTGAGTTGTTTAGCACAAAATCATGAAAAATAATACACAGTATCTATACATTTACTGAAGATACCTGCTAGCTGAGAGGGGTCCACCAAAGCATGCCTGGAAATTGTGATGAGTTTACTGAGGAGGTGAACGGTCATTTCCTGCGTAGATGCTGAAGTAAAGCCTTTCAGGAAAAGCTGCTGAAGGCCTGGGAAGTTATTCCACTTCAGTTTATTCTGCACCTTTTCTATCTTTTCCCGACTCTCCAGTTTATCCAGAGGCAGGTGAATCAGCAGTTTGTTGAGGAGCTTGAGAGCCAGAAGGTACTCATATTCATAATCTGACTCGAGCAAGGAAGCTGCAATCCAGAACACGGTAGCCAACAGATTGACGGGATCAGTAGTGGGCTGCACATCGTACAACCCTCCCTCTCGCAGGGAGGAAAGGCTTCTAGTCCTTGCCAAGCTGCCACCATGATTTATCCTTCCATCCATTATGTCCAGCGTGTTGCTCCGTCGACGGTCGCCTCTCCGCTCACTGATTAAGTTGAGCCTCAGAGAATTACTCCTGGTATTGCTGTAGTAGCCCAAACAACTGCCGCTGTTAATGGGACTTGTGCTTAGGTTGATCTGGCCAGTGCTTTTCCTGTTAGCTGCAAACTTGTTTCCCATTACTGAATCATGGTATGAGGTTCTAAAATAAAAGCCAAATTACATTTTATTCCATGAAAAACACTCTTAATAACATAAAGATTAGAAATAGGAGGCCAGGAAAAGACTTTTGATAGCAGTTGCAGATCTGCACGCTCAGGGAATACTCTGCAGCATCACCCACCAGGAGAGCATCCTAACTGTGGCATAAGACAAGACAGTAGCATCCCGTTCCGCTGTTAGAAAATGTGGTCATTACAATCCCAGTAAAGCAAAATAACAAGGCAATTTAGTAAAATATTATCTTACAGCAAGTAAAAAAGCCCTAGAAATGAATATCTACCATTCCAACTTACTTCCTTGCAGGTGTCATAAGGGTAGAGAAATGAGGGAAAATAAAGTAATAAATAAGTAATTTCATTTATTATTTTCCCTGAAATAACTGAGAATACAGCACTTACTGGYTCTCAAAACAGTGACATAGAAGAACTTCCTAGAAATTTCAAAATTTTCAGAAAACCTTGTCATGAAATGAAGCAAATGGGGTTGTGTGTATGTTTAGGGTTCTTATCCTCTCTGCTGGAAAAAAAGTAATCGAGCTAAACACTCAAACTCCGATGAGACATAAAAATGACTCTTGACTTTTCAGTGACACTTCCTTCAAACAGAAGCAACAAATTTGAGGCCTAAGATTAGCAACTGCTCTAACTAAAGAAATTCAATCTATATTAAAATTACAGTACAAGTATTTATTGCAGTACAGAAGTTTTCATCTTCAATGTTTAAAATCATGTTCTTAAAATTGCTGCCATTAGCTTCAATGTACATAATAATTCAAATGTGCTGTGTGCTAGTTGAAGAACTTACTGAGAAAGGGCAGACAGCAGATCGTAATGCTTCATGGTCTCAGCCAATGTATCAATAGCAGACTCCAGAGTCAGAAGCAGTTCTATGACAAAACCCTGGGGAAAACCACATTTTTTATCAATTATACAACAATTTGGATAACAAATATTTTATATTATTCATGTGAAATTATTTAATACAGTATGTATAATATTTATGTTCAAATTCTAACTCACATGAACAAGTAAAAAATCACAGAAAATCTACTAGTGATATAAAAATACAAAAAAAAAAGTATTTCCAAATACTCACAGAATTCATTTAGATTTGCATTATTTTAAAGGATGTATATAGCCTTGGGGATTTAGACTCTTATTTTGCAATTTTAAAAAGTCAAACCCATTTCTTTACCTGTAATAATACCTAGTAAGTTGGATAGTTGTAACAGTTTATGAAGTAGCTTTTGAATATAGGAATATCTATATTATCTTATTATATGGTCAATCTAGTGTCTCTCAATATACTCAAATATATAGTATTTTATATAGTATTTTCAGGAAACAGATATATCAAATTCTCTGAAATTTCCTGTTGCTGTAAATATTTTTTTTCTATTTTTTAAGGGGAAAATTCAGAAAGTGTCATGATTAAAACTGTTTTAATATTCAGGATATCTTCATTTAAAAATAGAAAGCTTTATCATGGAATCCAAACGTTTTACATCAAAGTGCTTTTCAAATTAGAAACATGGTGAAATTTTACTGTCATTAATATAATAAAACTAACGTGCCATTTAAACTTACTTAGCTTACTAATAAAGTTGGGAGGGGGAAGAAAAAAGAAAAATACCTGAGCTTCTTCTCCTGCATCTCCAACAGTTTCTACTAGTCTGGAGAGAACATCAGAAAGCGTAGATGCAGTAAGAGGCTGCTTCAGAGCCCTGAAAATCTGAAAGGACCTCCCAGCATAATGTCGAGAGGAGCAAGAAAGAGCAGTTTGCAAAGCAACTTCACTAAGACGGTGCTCCAACTGAAACCCTCCTGCAAGAGCAAATAAATATTCAAGTAAGACCGTACTTTATAACAAACAAAAAACACCTTAAATCTAATGGTCAAAGCTATTCCTAATATTAAAATACCCTCCTCTACAACCCTCTCCTCTCTTTTCTCTTTACTCTTGAAGTACTACTCTCAAAAATCTTCCTAGCCCTATAACATGTATTTCACATACTTTGAATATTCAATGCCTACAATAAATGAATAGGATATTTAATTTCATCCCTAAAACAGTGCATTTCAATCAGGTGTCCACAGAGAAACATGAAGTGAACTGTGCAATGCACATGAGAAACCTCAATTACCTGAAGCAGGAAGCTATCACCAGTAGGGGATTTACAGCTCAGCTATAGTTGCACACATTTGAAATAGATACTTTAATTCAGACTTACATTCTAGGATGCATTGACTGTTTTCTAACGTACCTGAGCTTGTCTGTTTAAAAATAGATACCACATGCTTTAGAAACACAGTTAACTGTTCAGCACTCTTTATATTAGGGTTCTTAGCTGAAACATCTTCATGATTCCAAAGTGGCCCTCTTTTCCTAAAGATATAAAATGGAAACAAAGATGACATTAAAATTACTCAAATGTTATTTTCACCTTAAGCAACTGCAGAACAATCTACCACCTACCACTTTAAACAAAACCATTTAAAATTGCAGACACGAACTGCGAAGGTGTGTGCTACATTAATACTATACACCCAAACAGAAGTTAAGACCAAGTGAAAAGAGATAGATTGAATCTAACTGAAATAACACCATCCATTCAGGAAAGACGAACACTTAGTTATTCTGATAATCACTTACAACTTATTATATTTATACTTCTTAAAACAATCTCATCCCTTTGCATTAACACATCACATTTCAATTTTGGGGACGATTAAAAAGTCCTTTTTTTTGCTACAGTGATTTTCAGAAAGTTTTTGACTAATGAATCGGTATGCCAGATTTACATGATATTCAAAGTTTGTATAAACTATCATTTATGCCAGATTTACATGATATTCAAAGTTTGTATAAACTATCATATGAATTGCGTAAGTGCTGTTTGTTTTAGAGTTGCTCTTCACCACCAATTCCTATTTTTCAAGTAGCCAGCTCTCCATTATTACTAATTGGTGAACTCCACACGGATCTTGTAGTTCCCTAAACATTAGAGTGTATCAGATCTCTCATTCTTCGTAATTCTTCTACCAAGATGGAAAAAAAAAATCTATAAACTGCACAGTAAGCAAAACCAACAGAACAGAAAGTAGAATATGTGTAGAATGTGCCAATAGACTTTTCAACTCTCAGGACAAGGGGGAGGGCAAAACTATTGAAAAATCATGGTTGTTTAGAGGTTGTTTCCTATAAAAGCACTTTAGGACTAAACCCAATCTCTTAATGGGAATAAAGCAGAGAGAAAAGTTAGAAAACTGTACGTTTAATAACATTTAACATGTTTTTATATGTATATTTTAAAAAAGTCTATAGACAATAATCAAAATTAAAATTTTACCTTGAGGTAATAAATTCTATGAGAGTTTTCACTTTTTCATCTTGTTCTACTGAAATGTCAACCTCATTGAGGATGGTGGTATGCAGCTGAGAAATGGCAGCACTTGTATTTCCTAAACTGATGCTAGAAGAGGTAGAACTTGAACTGAGCCCTGAGTCGGTCATTGGGGAGGGCTGGTAATCAGGTATAAAATCATTAACCCCTGCTGAAACAGAAACAAGATTATTAGCAGCGCTCTTAAATTGACGTTTTCATATTAAATATATAAAAAGAATAATGACTCCTCTAGCAATTAATAATTTAGCAAATGCAAGAATATCATGGCTGCAATAATTACACTGAAATTAACAGCAAAGGTTCTATGCGCAAAATCTCTGTGTAACTGAATCCTTAATAAGGAACAGCCAGATCCTTCCTTACAATCACCATATTTCACTTGATTTTGATTCTGTATAGTAATAAAGATAAATGGCGGCTTTTCAGTCTCTAGGGCATCTCATCTTAATAATAGTTTTTGTTGTTGTTTTTGGTAAGAACTGAGTCTACTATGGCAGTAATTTAAAGCAATGAAGAGTAAATGTTAACTACTGAATTCATTCTAATTATTTATAGTTAGGGTCTTTTTGGCTACACAGAACTTCTCTGAAGTTAGCCTAATCTTGTTCCTGAAACTTTTTCTATCCATAAAGACAGAGGCTCACTACCAGCTACCCAAATTTTGTCTACAGGGCCACAAAATATTGAGATCTTAGATGCTTCAAATAAAGTTTTAAATTAGCTTGCCTGCACTTGTCCTAAACATGCTGCACACTTACAATCACTTGATCTTAATTCTTCGTACAGCCAAAGCTGGAGATGTTTGATGCTGATCTCATTCTAGTTTCTAGCAGACATTTTCTTTTTAATAATACCAAAATTTTGTGTTATGTTTAATGGACTGCACACAAAATTGCAACAAAAATTAGAAACAGCAAGATTGAACAGGTCAACCATATCGGTGCACCAGTAAAGTTTCACAAATAGGTTTATACTGAAGAGTTGCTCCACTGTAACCACTTACTAATAATAACCATTAGTTGCCATAAATATCGAATTGGTATTGTATTTTTAGTCAGCAACAAAGCCACTTCTGATGCAAACAAAATGCAATGAATGGATTTTATAGGTAGGTGCTGCCACCTACTGAAATAAAACAAAATGATTTTTTTCACAATTCTTTAAAAATCTTAGGCTGAACCATAAAAAATGTTCCTTTCATAACAAGCTACATATAATAAATATAAATTTCCCATATAATGAATATATTGTTATATAAAGGTGAATATTAAAAGGTAAGATCTCAAAAAGAGTCTTCTGAGATCCTACTCAATCCACTACAACGACCACCCCAATGACAACTGGCTAAGTTGGAAATGCAAGTTTCCTATAAACACAGAACGGATGTTTCTTCTTTCTACTTTCAACTGAAATTTTATTTATGACTACAAGAAAAAATAACTTTCTGTATCATTTTAACAAGCAGCACTTAACAAATCTAAGGATACCTGTGAAAGTATAATCTAAGTGGGAAGCTTGCTTGACAGTAAGCACCCTGGACTCATTGAACTCTCTGTTCCTGAGCAGGACAGAAGCAACAGACTGGATGTTACTGCTGGAGCCCATCACTATCAGCAGATGCAAAAGCAGCCGTTTACAGTGCTCATAGACTTCAGGGTGACAGTGGTCAAAACCTAACACAAAAGAAAAAATGTTAATGCTTTATTAAATTATTTTTAAAAAGCAGTATTCACCATGCTCTGTATCACAATTTAACAATAAACTGATATGTAACCAAGCCAATAACTGAATAGTGGATTCCTTCAGGCTACACTACATATTTCTTCTATCCTTGGTTGGATTGTTTATTAATTTGTGCTTTTATATGAAATCAGTATATAGAGCAACAGAGAGAAAAAACTAAGAGCAGCAAAGGCAGTTCTCAAAAGCACTGTGTATTCCAAATTCACTTTATCTTCTACAAGCAAAAAGGAAAAAATAGCTCCAATAGGCAGAGTGTTCATAGGACTTCAAAAAACTCTTCATGTATTTGTACAGATCAAGCAGAAAGATTTATGGGATTTTCCGTTCCAAAGAAGGAAGAATGCCACTTTTGTTTTCTGCAAGTGAGTTTTCAAATATTCAGGCACTCAAAGCTGCATGCATATATGTACTATTTAATAAAACAATGCTCCTTTCTATGCTTCGTGCTAAAGTTGTATTTGTGAATCCTAACAAGACTAAAATCCAATGGCAAGCGCTAGCTTAAATGTGGAGAATAGCTGTGTAAACAGTTACAGTTCTCAAGCTTCTATAAATATTTCTGTAAGGATTTATTCACCTATAAAAATTGCATGAAGCAAAAGATGTAAGTATCCTCCCCATTCCACCTTCACACTGTGGTCGACTATCAAGTCAGTTAAAAGGATCACTGCTATGTTGCACCTAAAAAAAACAAACAGAAAACTTGTTAGAACAACACAGACAAGTGTGATGAAGAGCTACAAAGAGCTTACTAGGCTACTAAGCAATATTCTTTCTTAAGTTTCTATAAATACTAACAAAGTTATACTAAGGGAAAAATGTTCACAATGAAAAACAAAATCTTTACTTCTCCAGATGGAGATGCTCAGAAATCTTAGATACTGAACCTGCGAGTAAGACTGCATAAAATAAAATAAATGCACATAAAGTCTGCTATCTTTAGATTACTATAATTGTGCAGCACAAACTAAGATATTACCTGTGAAGTGACATGCCTGGAGGAGAAGTTTCAGGCAAATAATCCACCAGTGGTGACCAGCAACCCCCAGTAGGTGGGAAAGGCAGCGGCTCTCCCTGATTGTGCTCCATCACTTTCAATCGCCAGTTTGAATATAGAGGCATTGAATCACCTAACACAAGAGAAAATTAAGACAGCAAATCAAAACTATATGTACTCCATAAAAATATAAAATACTTCCACTATATATTCCAAAAAAATCTAAAATAGTTCCAGTACATATTAAAAAAAAATTAATTCTTGATAGGCTGATGCTTGGGGAAGAATAAATTTAAAAAAAACCACACTGCTGTAAACAGTAACTGGCTGAAGGTTTTTTTTAAAAAATGTAGCTACTTATGTTAGCCTTAGAATGACTTATTTTAGCATAGAAAGGATTTTACAGAAGTCATATAATRCATATATTGAATGAGATTCTGCTGAATAAGTTCATAAATGAAATGAAGACACCTAAGGTACAAAAGGAAATGTAACCTAACAGAATTTCCATGAAATTCAAAGCTTGGACTACATGGAGTTAAAGGTGAYTCCAAGGATAATACTGATTTCATCTCAAAGAGTCACGGCGTGTTAAGGGCTAAGGAAGTGTTTTTCAAGAACATCTCTTTGTAGCTCTCCCTAGCAAAAATCTACGACATCCAGATGTCAGGTAACGCAKATCTTATATATGGGGTCACTTGGCACTTGCCATTTTTCTATCAGCAAAAAAAAATCCCAGTGCTTGACAAAAGTCACAGCTCAGAAATCTCTTGTCTTCAAGAAGACAGAGAAAGCCAGCTAGTGGCAAGCCCTACAAGCCTCAGCAGGCACTGGAAGAGACACATGAGTTATTTTGTACAATAGCAAACTGTGTTTCACACTCAAAAATGTTGTTTGTTTGTTTTTAAATTACATGTCCTGGCTTAGCTCAGGTTAATGATTAGTTAAGGTAAGAAATAATCATGGAGACAGTCTGAACAAGTTTTGCACCTTGTTCTTCAGCAGACCAAGTAATGCTACCACTTAAAAGAATAATTATTCATAACATATATTTTTAAAAAAATCAGAGTTAATTAAGAAAAAAGTCATTTTCTACCAACAGAAATACTTTTAAATGAAAATATTACTTTTTTCTTCTTCATACGATCCTCCAGAGCTGCTGCTGTAGCGAGATTCTAGTCTGTGGTGCTGTCGGTTCAAGTTACTGTTCAACCCACTGTAAATGTCTAGATGTGCATAACTGCAGAAACAAACAGAACCATGCTAATAACTGACACATTCCTTAGCACAATTAGTCCATCAAACTGTCCAGCAACAAAGTCATACATCATATAAAATATTTTAACATAAAGGGACCATTACATAATATATGTCTAAATATCTCAGCTATATAACGCACATCCTCTGTAGTAATGGTACATGTGGGAATTTGAGGATGTAATCCACAACAAATTATATTTTATTAACATTTTATTAACATTATTATTAATTTTTATTAACATTTAAATATATTAAAACTGTTGCTACTTTTATACACAAAGTTTTTCTCACTCTTCAGCAAAATAATAAAGCCCATAACTGATGTGGCATTGTMCAAGATCAAGATTCTCCCATCCTTACTAACCTCACTAAACGAGAATACTAAGTGCATTATTTCCAATTTCTTCCTAGGTGATTTATAAAATCTCTACCTCCTTGTGAGCCTAAGATACACAGGGTGTATTGTATCTAAATGTATATATATACATATATACATATATATACATATATACATATATATACATATATATACATATATATATATATATACACACATATGTATACATATATACATATATACACTACAGCCAATGCCAAACCTTACCCTAACTCTGTAAGGTGGAGCTGACTCTTCAGCTCCAGCCCTCAAAGCACCCAAATTATTAATTGCTTCTATCTCACTAGGCTGAATTCTGAATGATACTTCAGATTTCATAATCTGGTATGATTTATTCCACCAAAATTAATTTATTTTAATTGAAATACTGGGCATGTCTGTAGTAATTTACTAACCTAATCATGCTGATATGATTACCCTGGGGAAGTAAAAAATATATGTCCAAATGGGAAATTATACTGGTATAATTAGAGAAGTGCAATTATATTCATACTTCCTATAGAAATATAATTACTAGGCTRCACAAACAAATCATCATAAAGTAAATTATTTGTGAACTTAAGCCATATCAGCTATTCTACAGTAATGGGCTGTGCATACTTTTCTTCTTTCTCTCTGTTTATTTCTCGCTATTTATGGAGTGCTTACTCCCCCTTTCATTGAAGGGTTAGCTAGCTCAGACTTAACACAAAAAAATACCACACACGCAGTCAGTTACTGCTCCCTAAACAGGAGAATAAATGAGCTATCCAGGCATGTGTAGTGCTGATTTCTAGTGAAGTAGGAAAGGGAGCTGTGCCTGGATACATGACTAAATTGATAACTTTTTGCCCTCAATGTTTCCATTTGCAGCATAATCTCTCCTAAGTAAATATACACAGTACAGTGTAATAGCAGCTAATTCAGCTATCAATAACAGGACARCTGACCTGGACTGAAATCCTAACATATTCAGCTGCGTATACATGTTTTGGAGTCCAAAGTAAGACCAAAGTTGCAGCTATTAATCCCAAATACTGTTCCAGTTTTATTACTTAAAACTGTATTAAACTAGTTACAGTCACACTTTGCCTGCAGTACAGACATTCCTGGAGCCATCATGATGCAATTACTTACTGTAATTACCAGTAATTCTTGTAATTTAACTAATAATTGATCTTTAGGTATATACTTACTTCTCTTCAATACTGTCTTTTATGTGTTTACTTTCAGGGTTAACATCTGTGGGAGCTACCATCGTATTGCTACTAGAAGTGGTTCCTGTAAATAMGGGACAAATAAAAATATTGCTAACTGAATTAAAAAATAAAAGAAAGAAATCTTAATTGTATTAAGTGATATAATGACCTTAATTTTCTTTCCCATCCCAAGAACACTAAACAATTACACACTGTTAAACTGGCACAAATGCAAGCTAGGACATGGACAGTTATTTTCATATGGGGAAAAATACTGTTTTGTCTGCAAGAGTCTGAGCTGCTACARCAATTTCACAAATTGGAAAAAAATGTGGAAAGAAATAATTCTAGGAATCTTAAATGTAAACTGAGTAGAAAGGCTTAGAAGTAAGAAAGATTTAGATACTTCTTACCTATATATTATACTTAAAACCTCTGTAAAAAGTATGTGGGTCTTTGTGTACAGTTAGTTAAAATACACTTAAATCCTCTTGAATAAATTTCTATGGATACAGCTTGTGTCAGCACTATAACTTAAAATACAACCATTACATGGATTTAAACTCACATAAATTWTTTAACTGAAATCCTATATAAGTCATTTGGGGAAAGCAAATAGGGAAAGATCTGAAAATAGATTTTTTTTAGATAGATAGATGGATAGACAGACAGACAGATAGACAGACAGATAGATAGATAGAAACCTGCTCATTGTGAGCCTATAAAGGTCTCATTAATGACAAAGTTAGAGATACATTACCAGCTACAAGGCTGGTAAATTAGATTTTATATCCTACAAATATATATGTCTATAAACATGTCTTTTAAAAATTGTACTCCAATATTTACAGTTTAAATCCAAATCTGTAACTGATCRATAACAACACGTTTGTCATTGAAAATGGTAGTATTCCAAATTACTAACTCTCACCTGAAGTGACAGAAGGGATTTTGTAACTGGATGTAATGCGATAATATGGTGGATTATCCATATGAGTGACCCCGGAGCTGACGGGATCAGTTAGCTGAAGTTCACTCACCAGCTCCTCCAACAGTTGCATTGTTTTGTCTCTACCCAAATAAACAATGACTTTCTTTACCTGCCATGAGGCAAAAAAAAAAATAGAAGCATATATATGAGTGAGAGTGTGTGTGTGTGTGTGTATGTGTGTATAAAAATTCTCATCAACAGTGATTGGATACAAAAGGAAAATGACAGATTTTTATACTGCAGCTGCTTAGAATCTCTATGGGTAGTGATCAAGCGCACAACTTACTGTAACACAAAAAGCAAACAAAATTACCTTCAGGGTTGTCAAAAACAAGTATTGCAAACAGATCTTATTTTGATGACAATAACTTAAAAGAAATGCTTTTCTTACAAAGTTTTAGCAACATTTGAGATGAACATGGGTGAGGGAATAAAAAGAAAGCCAAAGTATATGTATTAAAATATCATATATTTTGATACTTCACAGATACAACATCCTTCTCAACTTTGTTTCTAGCATCGCTTTTTTATTCCCCTCACTGTACTCTGCAGTGCTGCCACATGTGCAAAGAAAAAAATTAAATAAAGTTTTTGTTACGGGGGATTTATTTTTTGATTTAATACTTGTTCATGTAAAATAACTTAAGTGACAGCATGGCATGCTTTATTTTACTCTATGATCTATTTTTTCTTACTACGCTAAATTATAACACATGAAATTTGAATATTTCATTTTTATACCAAAGGAAGAAAAAAAATACTAAAACAGATGCACTTTGTAGACATTTTAATGAGTCTTTTCCACTTCTTACGATTTACTGAGGATGGACTATGGTCCATCTACTCTGGATTTTGATAATTCATAACTGATAGATGGCTTGTGGACTCTTTCAGACTTACCACCCTGAGTAGACTGGAATAGTCAGTAAGTTGTTTTAAGTATAGGAAGGCTCAGCTATCTTTAAAATGCTATCTCCTTTCTGGTTTCCTTTCTCAAGCACCTTCAATGGATGATGTGTTTAACTCAAACTGATCCCGTTTCTGTAAGCAAAACTTTACACTTAACAATTAAATCATTTCTCCTTTTGAGACTTTGATTCATGAAGAAATTATTGTACAGACTAGAGCCAAATACTGTTGCTCTCCTCTCACAATCTTTGTTAACTTCTTACATGCATATTATTCATGGAAGGTTTCCATAACTTCACAGTTTTTACAAGTCGACCTTGATTTATTTTAGTTTACTCTGTGTTTAACATACAGAAAAATATTCCCTGGCTCCTGAGTTTTTTATTGAAATAGTAAAATGTTTTATTTTCCAAAGATACCTAGTGTCCACTTAATCGTGTAAGTCTACTTCTAGGAACTAATGTAGTGGTGTATTTTGGATAAGAAGAGAAAAGGTTGAGAAGATATGACAAAGGAAAACCAAACCAAAMCAAAACAAAAAAGCAGAATATTAAAAATTACCACGCATTTCTAGAGAAAGAATTTTGTAACAAAAAGAAAACTCCACCAAAAAGAGAAAACTGAAAGCATATTAACATACAGAGTACGAATGTCCAAAGCAATAAAAATGGGAAGAAAAATGAATTTGATTGGTTAATAGTATTCAGTCATCATAAAGTATGGGATGACATTGCTATGATAAAGGAGATTATGATATTAAAAACGCTATGTGATATATGTATTTAGTGATCTGCATGCTAGACACTCAGTTTTTCAAATACAGATATCACTGAGAAGAGTCGCATCACATACTTACATAAGGCAAAAGACTGGGTTCACTGTTCACTCCACAGATACTGATCAAGAAGTGCAAAATTATTTTCAGATTTTTTGGCCAGCTGTCTGCCAATGTAGTCCAAACATTTTCTATCTCTGACCAAGCCACTTCGTCACCATACTGGAAAACAAAATAGTATCTTTCCTGAAAGGTCCAATAGGAAACACTGCATGTGAAAATGTTTTGTATTGAATAGAGGCTAAAAAAAGGGTGCATAAATCCCATAGGATGCTGTTATATTTTTAACTTTCTGTAATGAAGCTTTTGCATATATTCATTATCAAAAACACCTTCTGCAAAGAATTATTATCAGGATGATATACCATAATTAGGAAGCATGTGTGTGTATGTGTGTGTATATATATAAAATACATATRTATATCAGCTATCTGTTTTCAGCAGAGACAGTATATCCCAGATGCTAACAGTCTTGAATAAAATTCCATGGACCACAGGCTGCCAAGAGGCTTTAATTTGTAACTTAAAAACTGATTTCTCAGTATGATTCAGTACAATTCAAAGATACAAAGAAGTGGCAGGAGCACTGCAAGTGGCCAACACTTTGTCTGTTAGAAGTTGCTATGATGACAGGAAGGATAAATTGCCAATCATCCTACASTAAGAATATTTGTTTGAAAAAGTCGATTCAACTTTTTCAGATTACAGTTACAGAGAAGGGTGGGTATCATCTATTCAGCTGGACATCTACACTATAAAACAGAAGTTTTGTGTCTCCATGAGATTTATTCAATTTAAGCCTTACTGTAACATTTATCTAACATATTCTGTATTTCTCTTAATATTACCCATAAAACCAGCTGGTATCGTTTGAGTATACATAAACAAGCCAACAAAATTTAATAATTATTATTAAAACTTTGCTATTTGGCAACACAGTATCTCTGAACAGTATTTCCTTCCATCTAAACAGAACAATCCACTGGAATAATAGGGAATATTCAGTAATTCATTTTACCTTGGCAGTCATATACATTAGATTGTTCAAAACCATAGCAGTAGCTTGCRGAGATCCCCAGCCTTCCCCTCGCAGCCAGCGTCGACTGTTCACCATCATCTCCCTGTCTTTCAGAGCATCTTCCTCATCTTCATCTTGCCGCCGAAGGGTTGGCAAAGGTTTCAAGTCCACCAGCTCAATGTTGTTCATCCATGGCAGCAGATAATGCAGCATCACCTGCCTCCCAGCCGGGTGAGCTGTTTGAATTCTCTGACTTACTTCTGTCATTCAAAAATTAGGTACACACATAAAAATGCAAATCAAAAAAAAAAAAAAAATAGAATAGGTAGTAATAGCAAAAGCAACTACCATCACCTAGCATATCACATTAATATACATTAATGCTGTTACTGACAATTTTTTTTGACTGACTAGTGCTATCTGTGGTCTTCTGTAAACCCAACAAAGAGACAAAATCAGTATACATGCATGTATAGAAATATAAATACACACAGAGACATACAGCTTTGGTGAACGCTTCAGATTTTCATTATTCTGTTAATTCTGAATTGCTGAAATTTCTAATAAAGCTAACTTGTCAATGTCTCTCCATTTCATATTTGCCTCATATAAAGCAAGAAGAAAGAATTGTGAAAAACAATTATAAATTACTGCTCTAATACATGTCTTTTCATGGCTATTAACAAGTCTATAAAAATAACTTTACTCACTTCTGTTTATTCTTGAATATGTATCACAATAAATTCAGTTTTCTCTACCCATTATGAAGATGCAATACTGTGGTCTTGATTTTAGTCAATACATATATATAAATAAAAAATTAAAAAACTACAGATTTTTAAAATGTTTTTGTTCTGATTAACTTTTTCTTAGCCATACCTGAGAAGATAGCAAGAGTTAGTTCTGGATAGGTCCTTGCTAATTCTTCTGAGAGCTGATAGTAAGACATAGAATATAGATGTGGTAAAGGAGAAGGCTGACCCAAAATCCCATCCGTCCTCTGAACTTCCAGTTTGTGAGCATAACGGAACATCTTTGGTTCCAAGATCTACAACAAAAATGTTCACAATTTGAAATAAAGCACAGGGTTTTAATGGAAGTATTTATATAATTACCTTAAAGCTTTAATAGAAATCTTTATATAAAATTGCCTTTTAAATACTATATCCATGTATCTGCTATCATTTAATGCTTATYTAGTCAAATACCCATACATCATTTTCATATATAGTGTGAAATTCCACAAAAAACTAGCTGAAACTTGTTCAATTTGATGTCAATCTAGTCATCATTTTCAGAAACCTTTTTCACATTAACAGTATAAAATGCACATYTTTCTACAACAAAAGTTAAAATGCATGAAACATCAATAAAAGCAACGTAATCCCTGAYGATGCAGCAAAAGGCATTTTAACATTATTTATTTGATCACTCTTAAGCAGTGGTATTCACTTGAGAAAAAAAGATAGGATTTGAAAGGAAGGGTAATGTAAGTGCAGACATATTAATAAATAGAGTTATGTCTCCAATGGAAACTTTACTCTTGAATCTAGTTGACAAGGATTTTGCCTCTGTGAGGGGCTCTCAGAAGGGCAGAGCTGTGTGGCACTGTTATGGTGCCAAATTAGGAAAGTCTTCATTTTGGTATTACATCCTGAAATTACAAGTCTTGAATCCACAGAAGTGAAGTTATGCCAAGCAAGGATCTCGCCTAAGGATTTATTAAAAATAAAGGGAAAAAAAACAAACTAAACAAACAAACAAAAAGTTACACTTCATTACTGAAAAGATAGTCAAATAATACCAGAAACAGCTTTCTTAAATACAGAGGATTTTTTTTTTCAGGATATAAAGTATTTTAAAATGAAAGAAAGCTTACAAACCTGTAATAGTTGCATAGCAACTTCATAGATTGCTCTAGTAGAATCAGCCGCTTTAAACAGTATGAGATTTAGGAGGGTCACTGTATCACACTGGTAATCCCTAGGGAAAAAWAAGCAAGTGTGAAATAAAATAACATTTTACCTTTTAAGACATGAATTTATTCAGCAAAGTTTAGTTCATAGAGGGTATGATAGGGGATAACATAACAAGATTCTCAAAAGTTTCTGTGGTAAGACATACACACAAACAGGAGTGACTTGGAAAATGAACACTTAAAATGAAAGTTTCAAAAGCCTCTGTAGTACCTGTTTTGAAACACACTGGCTATGGCTTTAAAACAGCCAGCTGCTACCCGCTCAGAACCTGTGTAACACCGGTCTACAGCCCAGTACATGAGGTTACTCTGGTCAGGGTTGAGTTCCAAGAGCAGCATAACTGCCTCACAACCTAACTGATGAACCTGTATTCCAGAAATGAAAAATAAAAAAGTAAAGGATGACTCACAAAAATGGCATAAAAAAGTAAAACATTGATATTTTAAAGAAAAAAAAAAGGCAACATACAAAATCTCTTTTAACTAAAAATAATGAGACCACAGTTTCTATTAAATTGTTTAATATTCGAGATGTACACAAAGTCATAGAATATCAAAGCAAATAGCCATATAGCACTATTAGCTTTATTCTCATTTTTTTTCTCTACTCTGCTATTATTTTTTATTTTTACTGGTCTTACTGCAACCTATAATTAGATCCAGAAAAACATTTAAATATATACATTGATTAAAATGGCATCAAAGAACTTGTGTGCTTTCTCTAATCTTTGTAGCTGTGTGGAGCAGCAATCAAGTATTCCTACGCAGTCATAGAATTAGTACAGGGGAGGCTTTATCTTTCTGATGTAAAACTTACTTTACCATCTACATGGTAACAGCTGATTTTCRTAATTTCATAGAGCCCCAAATGGACTCTCGAGTCCCCCCAACTCCTTTAAACTTCTAAAGATCTATTTATTACTGCAACTCTACCTAACTGTTCAGCCCAGAATTAGTAGTTTATCTAACTTTCCTTCCCTCTTAAATTTTGTTCTATCTGCTGTTAGACTGTGATGAGGAACTGCCTCCCTCACACGGCAAATGTGTGTATGAGGGACAGTACAAAGCTTTGAGMTACACCAACTTTGAGCTCAATTCAGTCTACAGCATTTGGCCCAATTTGGCCTCACATCTCATTACAGCACATATTGAAGACACTGATAGTTGTAAAAAATGTTGACATTCTCCATATTACCTTTTTATCCTGGGAATCCAAGATATTATCCAGCCATTTGTATAAATAGCCATCAGATGACAGCCCCACATTATCTGCAACAGGGCCACAACACAGTACAGCAGACATAGCCTTCAGAAAGGAATAGAAAAACACCACATTTTAATACCTCAGGTATGGCAAATGTATTTTAGCAAGCCCATTAAAATATCAAGAACTTCTATTCAGATAAGGGAGGAAGAGAAAGGCTGAAAAATTGCTTAATATCTTATTCAAGAAATGAAACAATCAAATCCTATTGTTCTGAACTCCCCCACTCAACGATCTATCTATCTGGAAAAATAATAGCAAGAGCTKGCATGATAATTTGGCTGCTAATACACTTTTACATGGTAAATGTAAAGGCAAATTAGGAGTAAAGTCATGGGAAGTGGTTGGAATTTTAAGAAATTCCTGTAAGAAGTGCAATAAGTCACATTATAGAAAAGGTCAAACTGACAAAACAGCCATGAGGGTAGGAGAGAAAAAGAACTAAGTTGTGAATGACAGCAAGGATGTGAAAACCACCCCCAAAAAGTCGCTATGTTAAATCTTCATTAGAAAAGTCAATATAAGAATCTATTTCCAAAATTCATAAAGTGCTAAAAATACCTTCAATGCACAGTATTGGTGTCTGTTTATTTGCATGTTCCTATCACTGTATCTGTCCAGGGGAGTAAACATGATACTAAAAGGACCTGCCCAATGACTGAACAACATAAATAGACTGTGGCGTAGACTCTGCTGCGGAAAGACACTTCTTCTCTGGTGTACTGTAAGGAGAGTACACACAGTTAGACCCACTTTTTTTTTCTTTCTTTTTTGTAAATGAAGTACATAAAACAGAAACAGACAAAAATGAATACAAAAGAAAAAGTTAATGCAAAGACAAAATAATAGCTGGATATGCGCTTGCTATACTCCCACTTATGCCACTGCCATACAAGAACAAGTTACAGCAATTCAGTAGTGGTTAGTCTACCAAAATTAAGTGTACCGCCAATCAAGAAAACATCCATGAAATAAGAAAAAGTATGWTTCCAAATAGTAACAAAACCCCTCTTAAAAACTCACATTGCTAAACTTCTATTCAAACTGATATCAAGTTATTTTTATGAAAGTATGCTGAAACTTTAGAAAAAAAAGGTTTGAATAAAAATGAGGGTTTTTTTYCTTCATTACTGAATATTAAAGCAAGTCCTCAGAAGTTACTGATGTTTTGTTTTATTTTACATACCTGGAACATTTTGAATGATATTTGCCACTAAGGCACTAAAATGGCACCGGATATCTTTCAGTGTATCAGAATCCTTTTCATTCTCTGCTTCTAGGAGTTGTCTTGTTAGATCAACATACTCCAGTAAAGTGTTGTTGAGGGAATGTGTTTCATTATCAAGGCCACCACTTGCACTTAAAAATAAAAAAATCAAATACTATGTCAATGCATACTACATCTTTTTAAAACAATTTTTCATTTAAAAAAAACTATTCAGTTGCAAATATTTYATTAGGAATCACTTCTTGAGCCATTTTCTGTTCCCTTGTTTAATGAAAGTCCCAGTAAAAGCAAAACTAATAAACAAGCCTCATACTATCACTTATCTTCCCACAGAACTAGTTTCTCATATTGAAGTCAGGCGTTAAAAAAAGAAAATTTGTAAACCACAAAAAAAWAATAAATACTACTTGACTGTGAACATCTCTGTTATGCATTGACTCTTAGGAATCAGGCAAGATATACCGTACATCATGACATGCCTAGAAACARAGGACAGCAATTTTTTGATTTTATTTGTCATCATTTCCCATTTTCATTGCTTTATCATCTGAATAGATATCCGTACTAATCAAAATATGGAGATTAAAGYCTGCATGTGATTCAGAGCTGACCTCCTTAGGAAAAACAACTGCAAGAAGAGTGAATTCTTTCTCCTCATCCTTCTTCCACAACTGTATTCCAGACAATGGAAAGGTCTGCCTGGCACAGCACATGGAAGACGAAGGGGTTTAATGTAACCCCTAAGGACTCCGAGCTGCTGCCCCAGAGCCAGAGCAGCCTCACAGAGTGGTCACCAGCGGCAGAGCAGAAGAAGGTTAATGCAAGTTCCAGACTGGTGCAGACTGTGATTCTGTGACATTTTACACATGCAGTGAGTACCTTAAAAGCTAAGTAGCAGGAAACCATTTTCAAATGAAATGCTGATCACAGTGGCAAAGAGGATAGGGTAGCAAGGTAGGGCTAGAGAGAAGCATAAATYCTGAGTTCTATAAAATTGCTTATTTCTTTGTCTTTGTACACAGAAACTTCATGAACAATTTTGCACATTTGTTTCATTGGCTTATAGGAATACTCATAGGAACTCATACGAATAACTAGTAAAAGTCCAAAAAAGTCTTCTCTTTAATGCTGCCCCACCTGTGACTGATGACACCAGCATCTGCCAGCAGTTCAAATATTCGTACTAGCTGCACTCGCAAAATGTCTCGACGCCTGCGTCGTTTCATGTTCTAGTCAACAAGAAGAAACAAAAATAAGTGAAGCAGACGAAAAACTAAGTATAAATACAACACAACATATAGGAGCATTATTATATCCATGTTACAACTGGCATCATTAATCAGGGTGTCCAAATTTAAAAGCAGTTAGCAAAATTACAGATCATAGAGTTGGAAAAAAAAATATCCCTGTGGTAACTTCAAGATAAATTAGGCTAATTATCATACATATTATTAAAATACTAAACTGTRTAATACTTGTCTATGGCAAGATATGACATATAAACTGATAAACTCAAGTACTCATGCATATGCAAGACTGAAAACACATTACAGTCCAGCCACATTTTGAAATGAATGTTGCTTTCCCATCATTTGTGCTTAATTACARATTTATTAGTAGTAAAAAACTGAAAGTTACTTCAAAAATATTGAGCAATCCTCACTGAATTTGTGTTTGTGCAGATATTATTTCTATGGGTATTTATTAAAGCCTGATATAAACCCAACATTCTCTATCATAAAATTTTTAGAGTGCTACTATAGCCAGATGAGCTTAGGACTCACACGATATTTTCATTTAAAATAAATTCATGACTGTAACRCAGCTCATTATGTCTTCTATAATAGTAATTGTAGGCATTTACCAAACTGGGAAAGGTTATAGTAATGTATAATCACTTAAAACCACCTTGAGAAAAAAATATTAAGGAGAGTTCAATTTAATTTTTCCGACATAAATATCTCATGATCAAAAGTATTATTTCACTTTTCAAAAAATTTCTGACACACTGATAGTTTTTAGGTCCAACACTAAAGAATAATGTAATTAACATTTCTTTACTAGCATTTATGAAGAGAGTTAAAATGGGGTGTTAAATATAGCAGAAACTTCTAATTACCTCTGGCCTTCTTTCAAGTGCTTCCTTAATTATAGGATGTAATTCTTCTATTAGCTCCCTGAAAAAAATAAACAAATAAAAATGACTTTTAAAATTACCAAATAATGACTCAATTAATGTTCTGTCACAGCAACTAGTGCGATAATTTAAATACTCTCTAGAGTTTCTCTTCTATGACAGTAGCTTTGTGAAATACACCAGTATTTAATTGGTAGAGGCTTCCTAGTAAGTGATTTTCCTAATTTAAAGACAGAAAATCAACTGGATGCCTTAATAATTGCCATTAAATTGTCATTAAATTGTTATTTACCAAGTATTATTTATCTTCAGATTCAGGGTTTAGCAAAGTCTTATGGTACAAATAGATTTCATTAGAAAAAATTAAAGGATTTGGGCTATTTTGTGTTACATCCTTTGAGTTATCATGATGCATTTACTTGTTAATAAGCGTTGTTTTTTTAAGGCTAATAATAACACGCTGACAGAAGTTGAATTAGTCTCAATGAAAACTAAAAAGCAACATGCTTTGAAGCTGTGGATACACTCCCAATTTGTTTGAAGCTCACCCAGTGTTTTTTATTACTCAGTTCCTCCTACTAAATTGAGAACGTTTTATAATTCCAAAAAGGGATCAGGGAAAGAGAAAAGAGAATAGCAGCAGTGTGAATTCACACAGACAAAATGGCAAGGTAAAAGCAGACAATTTTTACTTCAATATTTGTTAGTCAAGTAAACAGGTCCTGCACTTTGGATTTCCTGGAGTGTGACCCAGGTGTTTTTTTACCTGCTGCACTGTTCTAATAGAGATGTACCAAAGGCCTTACCTAAATGCTCCGGGGTTGGTCCTGCCAAGACCCAGCACGAGGGATTCCGTGATTTCCATGCTCTCAGAGCGCATCATTGGGACTATGTGCTTAAACAAGGAGGAAGGGGATGGAATGCCAATGATCTAACAGATAAAATCAGAATAAAACAGAATGAACATTGGGGTTGCAACATTAAAGCATTTCCTCTAATTCTGCAGCCTTCATAAAAAAACAGTAACRTAAGATGCTTTTAATTCAAAACCAAATTAATTTCAAAACTGAAACCTTCTGAAACCTTCTTCATTCCCTGTCTTGGATTTCCATCTTCAGACCACAATGAAAGTGTCAATACAATAACAGATGTGAAATTTAAAATGCAAATATTTATTTACTATTACATACAAGAAAGAAGGAATGAAGGTTCTGACCTACCAATTTTGAATTTAACTTGCAATAAGATTACAAAGATGCAATTGAGTAATTTTGTGGCTACTCTGCCCTTACATCTAGCTTTGATAGTGGTTATWGGGAAGATCAAACCTAACAAACATTTTCTGTCAAAAATAATTCAAATCTAACTGAGTAAAGCACAAGGACTACCAAAACCAAACAATCACTACAAATCTCTCACTATCCTTCTCACTCTCCTTCCATTTCCACTGAAGCAGGGTCATCTCTGGGAAATTAAAAATCAGTTATTCACAGATCGTGAGGGCAGATCTCCAACTTTGGACGACATGTTTTTACAGAGGTTTCCACGTTTTTTTTTGGCTTCTCTGGAAGACATTCTGACCAGAAGAAGTTTGGTTTTTTTCTTCTTTTTTTTTTTGGGGGGGAAGAGGGAGTGGGATGGGACTTGCTGAACAGAGGATGCTTTATATGTTTTAGAGTACCCACTCTCCTTACAAAGAGGGAATAGATTTCTGGTGTCTCCATCTCTTAGACCCTACTGCATTGCTTCAAGAAAACGATAAGTTTCTCAGATGTAGGGAGTGGAACTTCCTAACAACTGAACTGGAATAAGCTGCTTCTGACAGAAAACTGCTGCACAGTCCATCAGTCACCTTCAGTACCACTATCTCAGCTACCTGAGGGAATAACTAAGGAAAAAAACCAAACTTCCAGGTGATATGAAATAATGCAGACAATAAACTGCCTGCTGTTGGGAAAAATATGAGGCAACTGCCTCAGTTCCTGAAACTGAAATTACAGAAGGCTCTTGACAGAGGAAAAAAAAAAGATACTTCCCCATTATCATCAAAAAGACCTTGAGACTGGGTTAACATTTTCATGACATGATTGGTCTTTTTGTGTGAAAGAACATAAGCAGAAAACCTTCTACAACATAGACTGGAAAAAAAGAGACCTGAAATATCCTCCTAAACAAATGGAAGGTGAATGTATACAATGCCATTTTCCTCACAAAAATTACAGAAGCATCTGTGAATCGGGATATGTATTATAAGTCTTATTTGTTACTACTTTCAATAATATGTAGTTAGAGCTAACTRCAGTAAGCAATAGGAGAACCTACTCTTGAATCAATGCTATAACCACTGTCAGGAGTAGACGCCAGCGTCTCGGGAGGGGAACATCTCACAGAGCCTGTGGAGGTGGAGGAGTTGGCAGAGGAAGCTGCACTGCAGCACAGAATCAGGTAGTTTCTCCAGAGTCCAATATAGGAGTCACTGCTTGTAGTAGTATTTACTTTCTTGGCATTGATAGGGCTGCTATAAAAAAAGAGAGAAAAAAAAACTCAATATAGAAAATAAAGCTTACTGGATTTATCTTTTTCTATTTATTTTAAAATTATGCATATGATCTCACTTCTGAAACTGTTAACACAGTAAAGTTCGAGTAACATAACAGAATACACTAGTACAGCAATAACGTATGTTTTTAGACAAAGCTATTGAACTACAATATGGCCAAAAGGCATGAATTCAGTCACATGATTTTCCTTCCAAGTGGAACTGCTTTAACGTTTTATTATATCAAGTTGAATTACACCCATAGAAAATAATAACAGTGCACATTTTACTTTACTGAAACATAACAGCATTACAATGCTGATAAATCTTACAGGCATGTTTTGTATATTATATTTTATTAACTTACGGCATGAACTTACTTTATATCCACCTGTGGGGACAGTAGCTGGAGTCTGGTATAAGCAAATGTCCAAGCATAGCTCACAGCTGTGGGGCAGTGTTTTGGAAGATTTTCTTGTTTCATAAAACTTGAGAGGCTTATAATCCAGGGATCCTGGCCTTGGGTGACATGTGCAAATATCCATATGTGCGATGGACTGACCACATCAAACTGGTGGCTGATTGGGGAGGAACTCCAGTCAGCCAAAGTTTGCAAATCTATTGAACCGGGGCAGTACAGAAGAGTAGTCTGTGTGTGTAAACAGAACAAGGAAACATTTGTTACCCATCTATGTTGAGTAAAGTCTTTCACTGCTATACAGCTAATGAAATGTCAGCGTTAAAAGCACATCTAGCAAATAGATCAAAACACCTGTGGTGTTCAATAGAAGTTCTTCATATGGTCATTATATAGACAGAGTTTGGAAAGAATCTGGATATTAAGGAATAGTAAATTGTAAAAAAGTCTTTTCCCTTTTGAAGACTTATTCCCCCAATAGGCTCCATTAMGGAATAGTAAATTGTAAAAAAGTCWTTTCCCTTTTGAAGACTTATTCCCCCAATAGGCTCCAAATTCTTAAAAACTTTACTCTTCCATTCCGTTTCACTTCCTAAAAGTTGTATCAGAAGAGTTCCTCCTTGATATTTAGAAGCTAATAATAAACATATATTAAAGAGTTTAGCTGCTATTTACCAACATATAGTTTTCATCATTATTTATATAACCATAACCGTGTTGTTGAGATATATTCTTATATAAGAAATAGCAGGGATAAAACTTCTTTCTAATTTTAAAGTCAACTTAGTTACAATCAATAGTCTTTGTAATCCATCTCCTTTTGGTACAATAAGGGGAAAAATACTAATTGCTCATTCCTTGCTTAAGCATAATGTAAAGGCAATATAATAGCACTAAAATTTAAAATACATACAGCTCATATGGGACAAAGATTTTGCCTCATCTTACATGCAATCTAAAATAAATAATATTAATGATAGAAGATTCCTACCTGATCAGCCCCAGTGAGATGTATGAAACTCTCCAGGATAGAAGCACTTAGTCTGTCCATCACATCTATAGCCAAATCATCATCACTCTAAAAAAGGCAAAATACAAATCATAACAAGCTGCACGTCAAGAAAAGCAGTGCTCTTTCAATGAGCAGTTACACGGCTCCTACCTTGGGAATTTCTAAAACGGTGAACAAGGCTCTTATTTCTCTAAGAACACTGACTGCTAATCTTCTGGTTGCAGGCCTTGTGCTGCAAAGAATCACCAAAGCAAAGCCTTCCACCACATGAAAMACGCTGGAATAAAGGTTCCTCTCCAGAGGGAGGCTATGTGCAGCTCCACTGGATACCCCACGCTAAGGAAAACACAACACAAGGTAAATAAAAAAGAAAAAAGAACAAAGTAAGCATACTAACATATAATTTTATTATAGCGATGGTGAAATTAAAAATAAGCTATTAACTCTCTCATTTAAGAGCATATATAATTAGGTTACTTAAACCTTTTCTGCTTGCTAGTAAAAGCATGATTTTCAAGTTACATTTTTTAAGCACTCTTATTAAAAATATTTTCAGCTAGTGATGACTTTTGATGCAAACAAAAATGTGGCATATATTAGTTTCTAGAGAATCATGAATAATACTAAAATATACTTCTGGCAGAATTCTTTCTTTAAAACAATAGGTCTAAAAATCTCCCAGCACTGCAAGAAAGCAATTCAATATTTGTAACTTAACTAAAACAATAACGTATGTAAACAAAGACGTAGGTTGGTAAAAAATGTCTTTTAATAATAAAGAAAATTATGAGGAAATACCTGAGAATCTTGAGTTTTATTGTGCATTTGAGCTGCTTGTTTCCACTGATTTATGAGCTGCACTAGCATTTTTACTGCATTGTCAAGAAGCGTTGGATGGACATCCGTTACTTCGCGCACAATAAAATACACGAAGCCTGAAAGAACATCCTCCCGCCAGTCTGGGAAGTCAAGCATCAGTGCCTGGAGTGTGTTGAAAGCCAAGGCGCGCAGCTCCTCGTCCATATGAATTGTCAGCCTGGTTAGAAAAAAACAGCAATACCATTACCATAAATTTACACCTTTTAAGCCAAGCTTCACAGATTAGAATTTGATATTTACTCCTCCTCTTTCCTTTCTTTTCTTTTTTTTAATTAACACAGAAAACTTGCAGGAAGATGCATTTTTTCTACATCAAATACATCTGAAATACACAAATAACAGAAGGCTTTACAATTATAGCAAAATAATGCAGAAGACTTCACAAAACTACTTTAAAAAATCACTTTCAAGAGTTGTTCAAGCCTTTCATATGGTCCCGTATTCACATGGATCTCAGCACCTGCTTTGGAGCTTAATGAGCACTCATTGATGTGCAGGTTATGTTCTTCAAGGTAAAATCTAAAATAACACATCACTTTACAGAAAAAATCAGGTCTGCTCTGGACAGGAGAGCCTCATCTTGTCCCGCAATGTTAACACATGTATACGCTGAAATGTTTCAGCTTATTAGAAGAAATTTATCAAATACTGTATTATTATTTAATAATTCAAAATTTGTATTCCATTTCTATTCCATTTATTCAATTTATACATCCCTAAGTTGGAAGAAACATTGCTAAAACACTAACATTCCACATTCACAGTGCTATTTTTTTGATAACATACTATATACAAATACATTTGATCTTGGAACTGCAAACTGATTGGTATTCCTGCACCAAGATCATTCTAACTTTAAAACTTTACTTTTGCTCTCCAAATCTTTCCCTCTTCCCAAGTTTTCCTAATACAGTTCGGTTCATTTGCCCTACATGTGTCCATGTAATCTAAGCCTATTTTTATCTTCTTCCATTTTGAGTAAACGGGATGGGGGAGTCAGTGGGAACAAATCAATGAGGGAGTTTTATTGCTTTAGTTAATAAGTAAACACTGCCTGCATTTATCTCCACTATCTGTTCTCACTGAACGCTCAGATTACCCACCAGCTGCCTCTCACTTATCAGCACTGATAAGGCAGAATCAATTTAAAACTGAGATAAGAAAGGAAAGAGTATGTGTAGTAATGGATTAAAAAAAAAAGGAGGGGGGGAAATAGTACAATAAGTAGGGAGCAGGGAAAAAGTCTCCCACAGGTACTCGTCTCGTATTTTGGAAAACGGGGAAAAAACAATGACTGCTACAAAAACATCAAAACTGCAAAAAGCAAAGGATAGAAATAAACCCCCAGTTTTCAAAAACTTCTCTCTAAAAATCTATGTTAAGTTCAAAAACTTCTCTTTTAAAACATATTTACCTCCTGCCACTGTGGCCAATAGGTAATACTTGACCAAGTGCAGAAGTAAGCAGGAAGGGGGGGAATGGATCCTTGTATGCAGAGGACTCATATTACATAGAGCATGAGTATATATACTACTCATACTGCATATAGGGCACCGAGAACCTCTTGATTGCACATGAACAGCTTTTAGAAAAGAACATGCAATAGGAGCAAAATTTCATTTCCTTACCTTGCCAGCAATTCAATGAGGTCAGTCCTGCTCATGCCATCTGGAATCAGTCTTGGGATAGCAGCAATGCAAGTTCTGAACAAATCTATCTTAGGTTTTCTTTCACCCCTGTGAAAATAATTTATATTCAACAAAACAAGAGGGAAAGTAACTACCATTTGAAATATTTTCAAATTTATGTCAGAACTAGAGAGGATAACAAAATTATCACCCTCAATCTACACAGTAGTGAAATTAGTCTTAATTTAATATTAAAATAACAATTTAACATTTTAATGTACTAATGATGAAATCAGAAACATATTAAAGCATAAAATTAATATAACATGACCCTGACAGTGAAAATATTTTAATACATACGTAATCATGTCTTCAGGCTCTTTATTGGACATCTGCACACTAGTCATGCACATTGGTCTTCCAACTTCTTTGTCCAAATGCCTAAGAATGCTGTCTAGCGCTTTTCTAACTTGAGGATAGTATATGGACATTCCTTGAAAAATAAATAAATAAATAAATAAAATCACATGATTTGTTTCAGTATTTTATGTTMTTATTTTGATCTTCTAATTTATCCACCATTTATTCAGCTTAAGATAAATATTAGTTACATAGTAGGATGATACTAAACACATACTTTAGGTGTYGAAAGAAAATAAAGGCTTGCTGAAAATGCAGTTGGTAGGTGTTAATAGGAGCTGAAAGTAGAAGTTTCTGTCACAAGGAATGTATACAAGGAGTAGCTCTTAGTTCCTTTTCTATTTTCTCAGTTCTGAGCATTTTAGTTCTAGTTCAAATTACCCATGTTGAAAGAGTCCTTCAGAGACTGGCTCAATAGCAGAAGATGAGCATACAGGTTAAAAAATTTTCACCTCACTTTAGGTGAGATTTCAGAATTCCTAGTGACATCAAGGGAAAAATAGTTGCCATGTAAGCAGTTTTCAGGCTTTCTTGTGCTAATTCAGCAATGCAAAACAGTTTTAAGAAAAGTCATGGATCTCGCCTTGGGACAGCAGAAATTCAATAGTCTGAGGCAGCCCTCTCTACATAAGCAATTTTGTTAAAACATACTTCCACTAGATATCTAGTAACAAAAAAAAGTAAATATAAAGTCTAAACAAGTGTACTCCTTTAGAATAATTGAAAGTGTAGACATATATTGCAAATGTCAATTTACAGAAGAATACAGCATACCTATAACYTTTGCTTCCTCATCTGTCAGTGTTTTATTAAGAAAAATTTTCTTCACACGGAGAGTATTTCCTGAGGGAAGAACAACTCCTGTTGTTGGCATTGGTGGTTCACCATCTTTCTGCTGCAAACTATCTGCTATCACAAGGAAGACTCTGAGGCCTATATTCATCCTCTGCAATAGCAACAACAAGAGCAAAAAAATAAAGAAGTAGGAAGCAAAACACTGTAACATTCAATCAACATAGATTAGAATAAGTATTATTTAAATAATACATTTTARGGTAATGAAATATAGTTCAAACCTCCCCACAACTCTGATTCTAGATAACTGAATTGTCATGGGCTAATGTACTTAATGTTTTTATGAAACAGAGCACTAAAGGGCTTGACAGGAATCCTGAAAATGAAATACTGAAGCAGATATCTCAAGTTTCTCATCTATTAGATTGSTTCTTGGACTGTAAGATCTAAGTAGGGCTTTACAGCAGGGTATTACAGGGCATTACAACAAATATTTATACAAATCTACTGATTTTTTGTTGAAATAAGTCTAAACTGCAGTACTGTTGCTYATTTACTTACCAGAAATGAAGCAGCAGTTGTGCACAAACACAGTTATTTCTTTAGTTTAGCCAGGTGAACCTCTTTAGATACACATTAGCCTGCCTGCATTCTAGCTCACAAATAAGCATTTTCCCCAAATACTCCCTGAAATATCTTTTCTCACCATAAAAGCAATGACTTTACCTCTGGATTAATAGTGAAGGTTTTAGGTGATTTTCCAACACTAAGAAGATCAAAAATTATTTCTTTCATTGCAAAATCCAAACGTTCCTATAGARGAGAACAGATTTATATGATTTCAATTTTCTGTTAATAGGCACAATGAAATCTCTTGGCTTTGCATAAATGCCGGATGTTATTCTTACTATCTTATAACTTCCAAAAATAAAATCTCTTTGCTAAATATTCCCAYGAATTAACATTTTTATTTAATGTAATACAATTAAAATTCTTTGTAGTAAAACAAACAAAAACCCAGTAAGAGAATTTTATCAAAATGGTAAAACACACATACAAATTAGAAAATGCCAAGGTTGTCTTTGCCAATTTGGCATTTGCCCCCTTTTGCAGAACGATACAGCTCTGCACCAGGCCTTTCCCAATAATCCACTGTAATCTCATTTTCTACTCAACCCATTTCCATGCCATTCTAATCCACATATATAACCATTGATTCCAGCATTTAACAGCAGCATTGCCATCTATCAGCTTGTTGTCCTTTTTTTTTTTCTAAACCTTTAACCAAACCTCTCTCCAACTCCAATTATTATTTTTTTTCAACAGAAAAAAATATTGCAAGGAAAAGAACACCGTACTCTTCCTTGTTCTTAGCTGTTGTGCTTCATATTAACACAGCTGATAGCAACCAGGAAGAGCAATTTCAGGAAATAGTTTTGTTCAGCTCTGGAATAAGTAACCAGAACACATTGCAGATGGAAACTCTCAATTTAAAGTGCAAAACTCAAATCCTTTCCAAGAGCTTATGCTAAATATATAACTAAATTTTAAATCTAAATGCATACAGTTGTGCAATATAAATATAAAACTAATATACACCATCATAATAACCATACAAAAGAGTAACTGAAGTTACTGAGAAATACCTCCAACTTCCATATCTTGTCACTAGCAGCATTTCATTCAATATACACAATATGTGATATAATGTTGTTATTTCAGTACAAATATTTCAAGAATCAACCTTAAATGTGCATTTCTTCCAAATAATGCTCACACTATTCTCACATCTCTAGTTAGAAACAGTCCATAAAGATCTTACCTGAGCAATGAACTGAATAATCTTCACAAATATGTTCAGAGGTGTGTCTCGAGGGACCACACTACGTGATCCTTTAGGGAAAAGTGCTGATACAATGCTCATGAGACGGCTACAGGAATTTAGAAACAAATATTAGAAACAAATCCAGAGGGTTTTTTTTTTCTTTTTTTAAGAAATAACATTTTAGAATAGCACAGACATCACATTTCAAATAGGGCTGGTTGTATAGGATTAGTACTACACATAATACAGAAACATGACGGGAAGGACTTCCTATGTAGAGTCTGCTGCTGTCAGAAGAAACAGTATTATATGTTAACCAAAAATTGATTGAAATCTTCTAAACTAGTTAGTCAGGAATAGAAGGAAAATCAAAATGACTATACCATATTCTCACTATGGAATTATTTTGARAGATTTTTTTCTTTTTTTTTTCATTCACGACATACATCCAGCGATGGCCACTTTATACCCATTTATTATCGTACCATTAGTGCCTTTTAGCTTAAATAAGTTTCTTTATCCATTCATGACGTTGCATATATTTAAAACCAATCACAGACTTTCATTATCCTACTTGCCAAACTAATCAAGTTTTTTTTACCCTCCATTAAGACTAAGTCTGCTCTTCTGCATGCATTATCAGCCTGTCTTTGTACTGGCTCAAAAATCTGTGCTGATATCATTAGGGAAAAATAAATAAATAAATTCATAGACTATCAAACTTACCTTTGAGTTACAGTGTTGCTTTCACATTTTATTCTAATAACATAAACCCACAATAATCTATATAGAGATTCCAGTGCAACTCGGGACATTTTGGGATCTTTATTCTGTAAAATAAATTTAAAATGCAGTTACTGTTGTCTGTGTGATACTCACAAAGCAATGAAAGCTGATATTTTTAATACTCTAAAAGCTTGAATATCTTGTATTACATATTTACAATACTATTTAAATACTGAATTGTAATTGCACATTATTTTTTGCACATGTCTTTTAGTTGGATAGCAGAGGAGTAAATAACAAGCAGATATTCCTCTTGAGATSAGCACCAAGAGTGATTGCCTCATAGAACTTTTCTCAGAAAGCTCCCAGGAAGAGATACCTGCCTTACAGGGTACTAACTTATARCTCATGCTTAACAACATAAGAGCAGCAGTTTTGAGTCAAAGTCCAGTTAAGTTCAATATTCAGTTTATAACTGCAGTCAGTAGCAGGTGCAGAAGGAAAGAACACAAAAAAAGGCTCCCTTTGGAAGCTTTTTGGAAGCTCCTTTGGAGCATATGTCTCCTATGGAGGGCTAGATGCCCTCCAGTCTTCTAGCAACTTAAAGGGTTTCCTGAGGCTTATAAAAGTTTTTAACTCTCTTTTAATGGATTTTTATTTTAACAATCTAGCAGTCTGAATCAATCTAAAATCTTGTAGCATAATTCAGTTTAAATTAATGCACTGTATGAAAACAATTCTTTTTGTCTTAAAGCCAGTAATTTCTAGTTTCTTAGCCTCCTGGCTCTCACACTGTACAAACAGTGACAGTTCTGTGTCCGCATGCTCCCTGCCAACTTCAGCCATCCAGCCGAGGATTCTCCATGTCTATATAATCCTGAAGCATCCAGTGCTACTCCTGCAATTGGCCTTTAGCAGTAGCTTATGAACAGAAGGGTGAACTCCAAGATGTCATAGTTTCAGGCATTCCCACCTCCAGAGAAGCCTTTCTGTTTCAAGACACAACACTTGTGTATGATGGCTTGAACCCAATTAACCCTTCTGTGGTCATTACCACAAGGCAGTCAAGACAACAGTATTGCTTTGTCCTCCCGGGACAAGTGAAGGGCAATTTTACAAAGTCTTTAAGTGGACCTAAGACAGTACCATCAAGAAAAGAGAGGCTCTCATCTTTTGTTCCTTTCACTGCTCCTTTCTCATTGATTCTAGCAATAAGAAAGTCCAAGTCAGAACAATAAGCTGATCCAAATAACTTCATAACTATATACACCCTGCAGACTGAGAAAGAGAGAGCAAGATGGCTCGCTTTAACAAGGATGGCTCAGTACCATTTTTTTTGATAGCAATTACTTTATGGAAGGCTAAAAAGCATAAACAAGAAACCACAGACACAAAAGTAGTCATGGTACTTCGTAGACAGATATGGCTGTTACCAGAAGATCAAAGTTAAGCAAATGCATCACTTCAATGGTATCAGTGCATAGAGGATGCTTTTCCACAAGGGCTAATCCAGTCTTAAGTCAGAGATAATTCTGTTCTACTCTTCCTTTCATGCTTACTCAATGTGTTCTTGCCATCACCTTGACTTAGCACACATGGAATGCTACAGGGAGTAAATTTAGGAAGGTGAACTAGGGGAAGAAAGGCCACATCCATCCMTGCATGTTCAGACATCCATGTTCATCAGTTCATCCAGACAGATGAACTGCTTGAAACTTCTTGACATACTGGACAGCAGAGCAGTGAATTCACCAGCAGTTGTTACAAGGAAGAGGCAAGCACTGGATGGGAGGGTGACACTGTGATAACATTCATTTTATTCAAGTTAGACTGCTAGGAACCTATAATAATATTACATCCAGCTTACAGGTCAACATATCTTCATGCTCAGARTAGGTTTGTGAAATCACTGGCAGATACATTACACCAATGTCTATCTGAAATTCATTGCCTAGAACTTTTCTCATCAACAGTAACACACTTGAGTAATGCTTTGGTTTTCTTATATCTGATATTCCAGTGAGAATTTTGTAATTTTGTAAATTCAAATGAAAGGCAAAATAAAAACCACCAAAATCTACTATTACTTTCAATGACCTAATCAAATAGGTCATGGAAAGTAATAGTAGCAGATCAAGTAGCAGATATTTATGCTTCAGTCAACATCATTCCTCCATTTTTGAGGAGTTTAATCATTCAATACAGCTATTTCTGATCAGCTATGACAAAGTTTGCTTCTTTGTCAAAAAAGTGGAATGTTTGAACAGGTATTCACATTTTAAAAGGGCTACAAGAGAGTGGCACTTTTAATTTCTCAAGCACTGGAAATTTTCCATTTATCTTCCTATAACTGGAGACTGAACAAGTATGCTAGAAGAAAATGGCTTTTCTTTTGTCTAATTGTGGTATATTTTAAACCCAGTGACATTAGGTCAGTATTGCTTCTTTTCTTTAGAATTACTATATTAGAATTCAGAATCTAGTAGGCTTAAAATTAAACAGGCTTATTTGATTCACCATCCTGGCTAAATTTCAGTCTTTTAGCTGATGGATATCAGGCTTTAAAGCATTTTTCTGGGATTTTTGTTTCAAACCTAGTTCTGTTTCAAATCCTGAAACTTTTATCACAGATACACTATCATCAAATTATGGAATAAGCTGTGAAAATTGTATCTCTMTTAGAAAACAAAACAAAAAAAGAAACAGTCAACAGACAGTCAATGGAATATATCTCAATAAAGGCAAAAAACAATACAGTATTTTTCCATGTTAGTCAAATGTAGTCACTTACTGAAGAAAGTACTTTTTAACACTGATGTTAAACTTTTCTTCTGTTCTGAACTAAAACATTTCCTATTTTTTAAAACCTGCAAAACCAACAGTGTAAAAGTCTTTCAAGTTAGTGCACTGCAAGTTGTTATAGTAAATCAGTTCCACATTTTTATTGTGAATGCTTTCCAGTTCGCTCACATGCAAAGTTTGCTCAATTTTTCTTTCAAGTGAATTAACAGAAATAATCATACAGCTAAGTAGACATTTTACTTCCCAGTGGAAACATGCACGACTGCTCAAGGAAACCGGTTGTGATACTGATACTCAATCTCACCAAGCCACATGTTCACCCTCAAGAAAACTGATACTAGGCAGTTTTCTGAACTTTTTTCCCTTATTCTCTTGCAATAAGAAAAAAAATCTTTGAAAGATTAACTCTCTTCTTTCTTGTTGCATCTTCACTGTACTTAAAGCAATTTTACAGAGCAAGGAGAGCACAAAATACAACAATTAACACAAAAACAAAATAGAGCATTTATATTAGACAAAGCAACATTTCACTGAGGTATAACAACATGTTAACTCACCTGCAATGTTTCTATTTGTTTTCTGATACTGTTGTTAGATGGYATCTAAATAAAGCAATGTGAGACAGCAAAACATAACAAACATGAGAATGGGAGGCACATGCATGTTAGATGAAAAAAAAGCACAAAACCAACAGATAGCTGTACAGTAAGGACTCTATTCAGTAGAAATAGTTTTTCCTATAACAGCAGGAAATGTTTCCCTAACTTAGAAGGTTTCATGATAACAGATACTAATGTTAAACTAGAAAAGTGAAAAAAAAAATTCATCAAAAAGTGGTGCGAAAATCTAGATCCTTTTCCTTCCCATCTTGGAAGATTTCTTAAAACATTCCTCCCTCTCCTTTCTGTAAGAGGTTGTACAGGCTGGAGACACCTCAGCTGCCTTCAAGAATTTATCAGTTTTCTCAAGTATCTGCTAAAATAGTCTATCAAAATACTGATCAAAAAAGTAAGTAAAATGTTTTACAAAAAGTGACCTCTGATGGAGCCTGCTGAGCAACTGTTGTCTACACGGCAGTGTGTAAAGCAGTGCCATGGCAGGGTCAACCACCATGCAAAGTCAAGGTCAGCTCCATGTGCCCTACAAGACTCCACTACTGCTCCAGAGCAACTTTCTTGTCTTACATCCCCCTTATCTGCTGTATGAATTGAGGCAGACGCAGAGCTCTTCAGTCCTTCCTCACAGCAGTAATAACAGGAAAGAAAAAGAAAACTAAGCTGCTGCTTTTCAGGAAGACTCAGTTGTTGTCCACAKGAAATGTGCCCGTGTGCACTGAGACCAAGTACAAAAAGTTTACAGGGGAAATACACATTGCTAGTGCCGGGTCTGGGCTTAGGAGCACTCTCAGGAGCACTCTCAAGTGCAATGCAGCTACAGTTGTTAAATGAAACATTGCACTGAAATACTGCACGGAAAGGTGGGATATGAATGTGCTGAACATCAGTTCCCTTGCAGTAACTTCCCACGTCCAGGCTCTTGCACCGCAGCAAGTGGGAAAATTCATTTCTCTGTCTGCAAGATGACTACATGGCATCTTCCATGCGAGGTAAAATCTGCACTTGGCAGTCACCACAGAAGAAACTGAGCCCTATGATCTAACTTCCTGGCAACTTGCTCATGTCTCTATAGTCTTCATAAAACATTCTTCGGTGAATATTCCTACTGGTGACAAACTCTAAGTGCTGTTATTTCAACTTCCAGTTTCTCCAAGTTTCCTCCATATGTCAGGGTAGGGAAAATTTTTTAGCACTCTAAAATAACTCCCCCAGACTCTCAAAACTACCTCATTAGGCAACATCAGGGACACTAGGCAGAATGGACTTGAAATCGTTACTATATTTTACATACATAAATAAGTGCAAATAAAATAACTTCTGTTATTAGGTAACCAGGAGAAAATGAGGAAAAGGAAATCTAATAGAGTAAACTCCTGGGAGATTCATATTTATAAATTAATGAGATTACTTATTACAGAGTGCATGCATTTCAATTAGCACCAAGACACACAAAGGAACACATTCATTCACAACAAACAGGTGGACAGTTGAGTTGAGTTTTAAAGATTAACCTCAACAAAGTTTCTGAATGAGCCAGGCACTCAAAAGAGATTAAAAAAACAGTAATATGTGGTGGGTCAAATTAAACCCAAATTAAAGTTAATTGGTATACTGAATAACTCATTGCAGCACCAAAACACTGCAGATTTTGAAGTGCAGAAATTCATATATGCAATTTCTGCTGAATAGAGCCTTTAAGGTAAACGTGTTAAGCTGTTAGTGGTTAACAAAACTACATAAAATATAAAATGCATGCTGAGCAACTACCAGTTAAACTCACTGGCACCTATGGTTTTAATACATCCATTATCAACAATGGATATTATGCCAGGGGAAAAAAAAAAAGCAACTTCTAGAATTTAAGAATTTTAAAAAGCTCTAAAAAACAAAAGCAAAAGAAGCCTTTTAGCTTAGCAAAATAAAAATGAAAACAAAAATCAAGGCAGATATTGCAAAAGAACTGCAAATGTTAAGACGAAAAATATACAAAACCCCAASAAGCAACAGAAAAGTGTGAAAGATGTCATGAAAACAAAATGTCCCTTAAAATAAGCAGCAACCCAAGCAGCTAAACCTACTTTGCTCTTACTTCAAGCTGGCTTATGTACTTAACAGTAAGCTGAGAAATTGTCACGCATACCTAACCAGAATGAACATTGTGAAGGTGGATCAAAGAATTCATTAGAAATACCAAAATCAATACATTAGGCAGAATCATGAACTATGTTAATCAAAATTAAAGAAAGTGTGCAACAAGAAAATCACTTTAAAAATCCCTAATTTCCCCATAGTACAATCTCTGCATTTTATCAATCAGCTCATGTTTACTATTGAATCAGCTCATATCATCAACCGAAGCCAAGCGTTAAAGGGACACTGGAAATTTGTATTTGACAAAACTGTATCAGAGGCTATGAAAGAACAGTCGTAGACTTCTGTTATTTCTTTTCTGGCCTATTGATTCACTTTGTACTCCTTTAATAAAMCAAGAAAAGACTTAAATTTTAGAAGTATAAAATCCCTTCATTTTCTYAAAAATCATTTTCATGTGATAAATTACAGTCTGATTAGCGTAAAATAGCACTTGCTAGGTAGATTCTTCTACAGATTTAACTGGACAAAACCGGTGGTCAATTCACAGCAGAATTAAAACACCCTCTCCCAAAGAAAGTCATATCCTTTTCCAGCATTATAAAATATATTAGCGACATGGAGATTATACTAGACCATGGAGATTTATGACATTTAAGCATAAAAAAAAAAAAAAAAATGCATTTCACAGTGTCCTTTTAAGCAGCCAAATATTTGATGTACATTTGGCACCAGAATGATGAGAACATACCGGAATAAACGCTATCAATTTGTGACAGTGCCTGAATTGAAAAGGATTCTTACCTTTAGATGTGACAAACAGTTCTGCAGGAAAACGTGCCAGTTATTTAAAAAAAACTGTTTCTGACTGACACACAACAGGCAGGTGATCAATGGATACAAAGCCTACGAGCAGGGGGGAAAAAGAATTGATCAAATTCCTCTTTGCAGCCGTCCCGAATGTCCCCCGCTGAAGGGGCCGCACGCCGGCCCTCGGCACCCGCTCTCGCAAGGCCGGGCCTGGGCACTAGGCTAAGCCTAAGGGCTGCGGGGGCTCCTRGTGCAAGGCCAGGGCAGCGGTACCGCTCACAGCTCAGGCCAAGGAAGTCCTGATCTCAGAGGAAGACCACTAAAAGCTTCACTCCTCTTAGGACACCTGCCCTCTCCTCGCTGTCACTTAATTCAGCTCATAGAATGCAACACACTGGCAGGGGGAACTGCTTTTAGGGAAAATATTCAGGAGCAACATGATCAACTCCATAATAACTGAGGCAGGCTCTAGGTCGTCACAAGTGTCTACTTAATTTAAATATCTACTTCTATTTTAAAATTAAGCACAATTTAATAAAGTCTGTGATTATGCAAACTGCACTGACTTCTTTGCTCTTGTCACATTTGCTCAAATGCTGCCCACTTTTCAACACATGATGGTGAGGAATACAAAATTTCATTTCAGATTATCTTGTTACAGAATAAAATTTAAGAACGAGGACCAATAGGTAAATGATAGTCCTGATCTAACAAACTTTCTGACATATTAAAATAAAATCACACTGGTGAGAACTGGCAGCAACTGCTTTACATTCTTTTTACAGAGGATTTAAACACCAACAGTAACATAAGACTTATATTCTCAAACAGAGATAAAGCCTCCATCAAAGTCTCAAATAYAAAAGTGAAAAGACTTTCTTTTTTTAAACTAACTCATTTATATTGAATACGCCAATCGTAATGCAAAATTTAGCTCTGTATTTTTGGTCAAGTGATAGCTATCAACTTGAAACACGGATGCTGTGCTTGCAAAAAATTACCAAATACTSCATTAATAACAGAAATAAATCCATGCTGAGATGTAATCTTATGGAAACCAAATCTTAAAAAGAATTATTTCTCTAAAGAGATAATAAKATACTGGGAAAAAACGTTAAAATTATGAGGAGAAAACTGGCAAAGTAGGGCCATTAAGAGGTTGCTATCTTGCTGAAAAAGTCTTCTGTCTGCCACTTCAATCTTATAATTAAACATAAATTAAACATACAGTCTTCCCAAATATAAGTTCTTACCAGAAGAGACATTCATTTAAATAACTGTGCTAAAACCCACTGCAAGATTTAAAAAGAAGCATCAGTTTCTAGACAGTTTCCCATGTGAGATAACAGAGAGCACAAATCTTGCACAAAGACACTGATCAGAACTAGAGCAAGTGCAATGGGGAGAACATGAATTTAATTCTAACTGAGTTGAGAAGCCAAGGTTTAAATTCACACTGCTGCTAGCTTTTCTTAGATAAGGGACTAGCTTTGAAAAGTCTAAAATGAGCAAAATGTGTGAGAGTTGTAATATTTCTTTAAAATACCAGCGAGTGCTTCTTTCTTGAACTCAATTCAAAGGTAGTCTGATAAAGCATCTCCACAAAATTTTTCAAACACGGCACATTCACTTCATTTTTAACAGCCTATTAAAAAAATACACAGATATATGAGTTTAAAACTTTATACAGAAGGCAGTTAATATACACTTTAAGAAGCTCAGTTATTCAAGAATTCAGTATTTAAATCTCACATTAGATACGTAAGTATTTTACTACTGCTGTAGCACATAGAATCTCCCCTTAAAACTTCATCACTGGGTTTTCGGTCRCCTCCTCACTGCCCCCAAAATGAGTCCTATTTTTCTACTTTTAAGCTATAAGTTGATTGGTACCCTGGCTGGCACTTGTTGCCAACAACACGCTGTTCTTGCTTTTGAATACAATCCTAAGCTTACAGATCCGCTTGAGCTTCCACTTGGATTTGTAAAATATTTTTTCACCCATCACACTTGCGGATTGCCGTTAGACCATATTTTTACATATGACTAAGCAGGAGAATGACAGTAAAGCAGCCACAATGTTGAAGCCCAACAGTTTAATTTCTCATACCCTCCATCCAGAGTGTAGGGAACCTACACACACCTCCTTCATCTGCTTCAAGGAGGCTCAAATTTGCCTATCTCATCTTCAAGGCAATGACTAAACCTTTCAACTATATTTCCATCTCTGACTGGGTTTCCATTTTCTCATTAAGAAACTCCCTTTGTATGAAACGATTAAAGGTTCAGTGAATCAAAAAGAAAGCTCAAGACGCTCTAACCAATTGTTTAAGGTGATGCCTCAATCTATGYATGTGAGAAGTGGTCCACAAATCAATAGCAAGGAATATTTAATTTGCATACAGAAACACACATATTCTGCACATGCAACACGCACACCTTACTGGTTACTACTGACTGGCTCCAATTCCCAAAGGCATTACTGCTTAATTTTAAACGTGCAGTTTCTACCATTCAAATTATGATTTTGTAAACCGATACTATATTTAACTAAATGCTAAATACTTTCACTACTCACTCCCACTCCAAATGCCAAGAAGCTATGGAATTCAAAATAACATATGCATTTGCTTTTCACAAAGGCTCCTTCACCAGAGAAGGCTAGAAATATACCCAGCTAAAAACAAGGTTTCAGCCAGTAAACAGTTACTCCAAACAGGACCTTTCTGGGCTCATGCATTAAGAAAGAGATTATCTGCAATTTACAAGAGTCCCAATGTTAAGAATATTAAGGAGAGATAAACATATTGAGGCAGCTCAAGATGTAACTGAAAATTTTGAAAGGAAAAGTAACTTCAGAGACATTCCTCTTCCTTTTCCTACTAACTTGCTTAAACGGTARCTCTCTTCCATCTGAATGACCATGTCTAGCAGACACACAACTTGATGAGTAATTTTTACTGAATTAGCTAAAAAAAAAAAATGCTCTCCTTTCTCATATAGGAATTCATACTCTCCCTACCTGAATGCAAAAATGTTACGTATCTCAATGTATCCTAGAAAGCATTCAGAGGCTTTGCCATCAGAGGAACCTTTGAATGAACAAACGCTGGAAAACGCTGGAAAATAATTTTTTGGAGCAGGTATAAGATTACACAGCGCTTTGGTTATAATAGGTTCTAGAAAATAACTAATGAAAAAAGGCTCTGGAAATAAGTGGGAAAACAGCTAATAAGCATACTGACACACTCCCTTCAGTAGGTTCCTGTAGGTACTTGTAATTTACTTAATCTTTTTGAGTCTGTAAAAATACAGTGTGACAGAAGGAACTTCAACATGACAGTTTCACTGAAAGGGGGAAGAGGAGGAGGGGAAGAACTTACAGCAGCCACAGGGATGAGGATTTCCACAAATAAACCGGCAAGTGCATGTTTTATATCTTTATCTTTTACTTCCAGGAAGTATTGAGCACATTCCTTTGTGATGAAGCATTAAAAAAAAGAAAAAGAAAAAATGAAAAAAAAAATCACTGTGATATAAATACTATTTCATATTAATTACTACTTCAAATTTGATAAATGCAAGGTATTTGGGTTGGTGGCTTATATTTCTTGACAACATCATTACAGAAGATTACAGGGAACATTTTCTCCTCTGCATTTTGAATTCTATTTTACCTCCAACTAACAATTCGGAGAAGACCATTAGCAATACCAAGTATTTATATCCTACTCAGAATATAAGGATACAAAAAGATACATTCAGATGTCATTTTATCTAATATTGAAATTACTAAAATGTATAGTCATTTTCATTTCCAAGGTGACTTTTTAAAATTACCAAGCAAAGAACGTTTTAGAAAGAAATGAAGAACCATAAATGTGAATGCCCATTCCACTTCGTCGAAGTGACCGGTCTGGAAAAAAATCTAAAGCATCACTCCATGTGACAAAATTCACAAGATCTAAATCAATGAAAACGGCTGTTAAAGTGTCTAATAAAAACTGTGGCCAAATTACAATAGTACAGGTTCCTGCCAATCAGAAGAGGCAAAGTTATTCATTAAGGTAATTTTTTAAAAGCACAAGGAATAGGAGGATAACTCAAGACATTCTGTGTCTTTATGAAAATTAAAGGAAGTGCTTTTTAAGCAAAACTGTTGACATTTCAACTATTTTAAAAAGTTGTTTTTTTTTTTAAGTTACTGCTTTCATAAAATGAGGAAAGAAAATGTTGACTGTTACACATTTTCACTTAGCTTCCAGTGATTTTGCATATTTTGGTTTTGACATATTACTAGGACATCTAAGAATGAACATAGTGCAAAGTAATTGCAAGAATGCAGAGGAGAAAATGCTCCCTACCTCAAAGAACTTACGAGCTAAATAGAAAAGGCGGAAGATGGGTGACCAACAAACAGAGCGAGCAACCATCACAGACCAGTGTCACTGTAGTTTCAGGCTCACACAATCAGAGGGAGACTTATTTTGAGTTCATATCAATATTCATTTACCTGCATGAACTGAAATGATGCTTCAAAATCCTCCACAGGATACATTTTTACTCGAAAAAACTTCATTCCCATAATCAAACTGATGATACTTTGTACTACATGAGGACTCTGCTCTTTTTGCCGCAGTTCCTTTAATTCAGTGACAAACTTCTTCCTAACAGCTTGAAACCTAAATAAKGGGTATCAATAGCAAATATTAGTTTTGCATTTAGCAAATAGCATTTATTAGTTACTTTAATATGATTTTCTATAACTTTGAGCTGATTTACTCTTCTATCATCATCTGTCAATGATAGCAGATCAGCAATTACTGAAGGACATCAGACCCCCTTTTCCTGCATCCTTGCATCACAATTCAGAGGTCTGTACTAAAGATTTTGCTTTAAGTAAATGAGAAATTTGAACTTCTTCGAATTATTGTGCTGGAACATTCAGAAGATATTATATACTGCACTTGACATGGAATTAATTGCTGAGACAATTAATAAATGATGTTACGTTAAATTTRCAGGTGTTTTTTTTGCCCCAAAATACAAGAAAAAAATTAGAGATTGAACTTACTTTGACTGAGCAAGAACCCCTGTCACTTCTGCATACAAGTCTGCAATAATATGCACATTCCCAGTGTTGGTTCCTGAATACCTAAAGGCAAAAACGGGTGGAGAGTGGAGAGGGATGCATTAAAGACCTCTTTATTCTACTATGCCAACTGGAAGCAAAAAGGTGACAAAAAGTCATCTTAAAGACAACGGAAATGAACAAAAATGCATCAATCACATTTAAACAGGTAGAGCTTTGTTCTTAAGAGAATTCTGCATAGAAAGTTTACTTCTCATCTCAGGCCAACCAACCTTGCTCTGGCCAACTGTGCAAACCACTCTCTACATACTAAGGAAAAAATTCAGTATTATATTAAAAACAGCTGTGATGTTCAGGATATGTGTTTTAAGTTTAAAGATATTAATTACTATTCATTTTCAATATTATCACCAATACACTGCATGTGAGAAAACAGTATCAAGGATAAAATTATCACAAGCTGATAATACATATACTCTATTTTAYAGTATACAAGTGACACTTACCCTTCCTTATGTTTAAAGTGCTTAAAAGCCAAGTTTAGAACTTCATGTACTAAAGGATCTGGCACGGGGTGAACAGGTATCTGGAATACAAATATCTTTGTTTATATACATGTACAAAGTACATAAAGAGCACTGTAACGTGCTGTAGAAATCTCCCCACCGAAGAATAAACCCTTTGTTTGCGTAAGTTAGCAATGTAATTCTGTAAGGTATGAACATTTACAAAGCCTAAAGATGTGAAAATTTTAACAATGTTACAAAATGTCAAAAATGCTTGTCTCATTTATATGTACTGATATTCTTTTAAATCATCTTGTGCATTGGTTTGAGGGGTGAGGTTCACTATAAAATTCACAATAAACTGAACTAAAATAGACAGTAATCATTATRAAGTTGTTATCAAAATTTATCAGATGAGTTTATCTATGCATTTTTCTCCCAAGTGATGTATCTAGTTTGATTAGTCCTCTGAACAGGGGGCCCAGGTACAAAAAGAAAAATAAAACTCTTACCTGTTTTAGAACCTCTATTAAAACTAAACAAAAAATGAAATCTACAGCTAAGTCCCTCCTTTCAAGTAGATAATCCCTTTCACGTTGTTGGTCGTCCCTACAAAAAGAAATCAAGAACAAATGTATCATGCATAAGTCTGAACACAAACACTGCAGAAAAGTACTATATGCACCTATCCTGTGAGCATGGGTGCATTGKGATCAAAATGCATGGTTAGGAAAACTTTTGGGTCTCATTTGGAACAGGATGTTTTCCACATTCTTCTCAAGAAACAGGCAGTATTTTTTCTTCCGTTTTCTTTACCCCCTCCTGAAAAGGCCTGACAACAACTCAAATAATTTGAAAAAGTCACAAACTTGCAATTATCAGGGTCCAACTTTCCTCTTTATATTAATCATAAAATTCTGAAGTCTACTCCATGCATGTTTTTCATGCAACTTCAATGCAAAATCTCAAGGAAAAAAAAAAAAAAGAAAACCTCATCTTCATCCAAAAATTTAGGAAAGGACAAACAAAATATAAAACACTTGTCYAAAAAAGCACAGAGTTTTTCAGCACCTACATTTTCTAAGGAAAGCACAAAAAAATCAAGCCACCCTCTGCAAGGAAAACTCTTACCCTTTTGATTTTGTGCTAGAGCGAGGTCTATATTCATAAGATTCATCTTCTGTTCCATTTTGACGCCTGTACCAGTCAAACAAGGTGCGCAGTAAGGAGGGGAGACAGTGCTCTGCTACTGAGCTCATAGAGCTTATCAACTGCAAAAGAGGAACAGTGAAGTGTTAAAATTCAATCTAAAAAATCTATTCTTTTAATAACTCCTCAAGATCAGCTTGTTTTAACATTAATAATCACATATTATTTTATGAATTTGTATCCTAGGAGAATTCATGTTTATCTARGAGAACAATTGTAAATATGATATTTGTTATAACACATTGAAGATGATAGTGTTCTGAAGCTCATAGAAGCTCACAAAATTCTAAATTCATTCAGGTAACCTGTATAAAACCATTGAGAAGACAATAGGTATTTCAGGATGTCCCTGAATGTTGTCATATGTAACTTGGCATGAATTTTCAACTGTAATGAAACCTGCAAAGGATCTCTTTCAATTACAAGAATACTTTAGTCAACTTGTTAACCCATTAGCCATTTAAGTCACAAGAATTAAGCATTTTTTCCAATATAAAAAATCCATAAATTAAGCAAACAAGTGGAAAAACTGCCTGAAAATAAGTAAAAATCACATTCTTAGAAAGAAAAGCTTATACAGCTTAAAAAGCATTGCCTCCTAATGTACAATACAATCTACCTATATTTAGATCTGAAGAGGAACTAGGTTTCATTAAAATACTTTGATTAAAATGAGATTAGATGAAGGAGGAGGTGAGAGAGGTGGCACTACTCACACACTATTAGTTCRAACACAGGGAATCCTGAATTCCTGTTCCCATAGTATGGACATTTATCCAATCATTCACTTACGTACACTATATATACACTTCTGGAAGCAGAAGCTATGATTCTCTTCCCCTAGAAAATCTTTTTTTTCTCTGAAATGTCTTCTTTCTCTGGATTCACATTATATGCTCAGCAATATAATGCTCAGCAATGAGTTAATATATTGGGCAGTTTGGATATTGCGAACACATACATTTGTTTGAATTTTCAGTTAACCCAGCTTTAAAGCATGCTGAAGGTCCTTGCCCCAAACCACTTTACAAAATGCAATCAAGGACACCAAACCMTTGTGAAAGCACCACCCACACCTCAAACATTCTGAGGGATGTGCCAAACTAAGGTGGCTCCTACRCAAGCAACGATGTTTTGGAGTGCATTCTTGACCCCCTACAATCAAGCAATTTTATAATTTCTTGCTCTCAGTGAAGGTCCCAAGAGGGCTAAGAAATGATTCCCTCTGATCATAAAGTTTTTGGTGCCTTAGGACAAGAGTAGGAAATTGCTAATTAGGATCTGACAACAAACCAAACAAGAAAAATACAAACTATTGCAGTTTCAAGCTGAAGAGGCAGAAATATTTTAAGGAATGCAAAATATGTTTTACAAAAAGTCCTCTCCAGTAGCTTTTGATTCTCTGGGATAAAGGGACATGATAAAATGACAACATTGGTACAAAAACGCTATCACTGCTAATAGTTTATAAATGTATCAACATAAACATTTTCCTCCCATCTTCCTAAATTTCATTGTCTCTTAGGACTTTTTATCCTAATCAAAACCTCAATGACAAATCAAACAGTAATACAAATTCAAATTTAAAACTATTTACTTTCCACCGTAGAACCTGAAACGACCCTCTTGGCCCAGCAATGCTTCAAGCAGACCTGTATTACTCTCCCTGCAAACAGCGTTCTGTGCTTTCAGAACAGATTCAGACAACACCAGGTGCCTTCCTCCTCTGTCCCCCTCCTCCTCGTCCTCTCCCCAAGCTAAGGGGCCGTCAGCAAGACACCACCTTGCTCAGCATCCCTGCTGCGTTGCAGCCCTTGATTTGCCCAGCAGGGCAGACTCCCCAGACAGCAACCCCTCTCTATAAACASATAAAGTACCTCATTTTTATAAAAAATAGTTTATGTCAATACTGCAAAATTTGGAGAATTAGAGACTTGTTTTTCCCCATTCCACATATTTGTAGAACGCCTATGTAGCTCAAATAAATACTAGTAATTAATAACAACATTTTTAACTAGGAAGCAATTAGCAAGAGTTGTTTTGGGCAGAAAAATCAGTAATATTACTGATTTAGAGGTTCTCTTYGATCATCTCTATTATTTTGCTTTTGGTCAACTGTGACAGAAAACTCTAGAGCTGTCAAAGAATTTATGTCAAATCCCCCCCTTCCCATCTTCCTTTCATTTGGGAGATAGTGCTCTTCCAGTAGGTGAGATAAATCCTCTGAARGCTGTGGAGTCTCGGTTTGTGGGGGAGGGAAGGGAGTTCTACAGCAAATATTATTCGATGCTTTTTGTTTCTCTTCTGACAGAAGAAAGAAAAAGCTACAAGGATGGTTCCCAATTTTGAAGTCTGGGCAAGTCCACAGATTTCACTGCAATTACTCCTCATTACAGAGGAGTAATGAACAGCATGAAACACAAATCAAATGACAGAATAATAAAACACTACCATGAAGACTCCTGCAATAAGCTGCTATCTGTTAAAGGTTGAGAGAAGTAACAGGTAGAGCATGGGGCCCTGCTGCACCCTCACAAGGAAGTAGTTATGGCACAAAAACCTACCTCTGTTATGACAGAATTAGAAATAATAAAGAAATAGACATGAATAAACTGAGCACAGTGCAATTCTAGAGGTATTTCAGGTGCAGCAAGTGAAATATAATAGCTTTACATTGGAACTACACACTGAGCAAAGGGCAAAGAATATGTAAGTCTACCTTATGYTTTCTGCCTCTGTCAGATCAAAAAGCTCTCAGTAAATACCGTGTTCCTGAAATTAACACTACTTCCTTGTGAAAGGGGAATGCAGAAACACTGAAATCTTCAATCATATAGACCTAAGTTACACAAAGCTGTCACAAGAACAGAGAGAAACTGATTCTTCTTCTTCCTTAACATATTTCAACATTTTTCATTTCATCTTTCATTGCCACCTTCAAATAATCAATCCAACCTACTAGCACTATAACATTTTTCAGTGGAAAATAAGGCCCAATTTTGATACAAATCTGGTAACTAACATTCAACATCTGAATCTGATAAAGCAGAATTAGATATTTTAAATCATCACAACAGTGGAACCACTGTCCTTCAAAAACACCTGAATCCAGTAAAAACTGTCTTCAAATGTGTGTCTCCTACCTGATCAAATTGAAGATCTTCACCTCTTTGAAGAGATCTGGACAGGAGCTTTTCCTGGAAAAAAAAAATACAGAGAAATATGTATTTAGTACTGGCAAGCAACTCTTTTCTAACAAATACAGATGCCTTATTTTCCAGTTACATTACAATCATAAAGAAATAACACTTAATGTGGATACATGTTATTTCCCAGCTAAAAACATTTATGAAGAGGCAAAGTATACCCACAAAACAGAAGAAAACAGAATTAATTTGGTGACTGAACAATAAAAATACTGGAGTCTATCAAACAGAAAAAATAAAACACTTTTCCCCAAACATGAGGGTCCCAAGTAAGATGCTGACTGTGCTCTGCAGAGGTAGTTGGTAGCATGTGACAAACTGAATGAGGTTTAAAACTGTTGCCACAGCAGCGAAGAAAAATGCCCAATCCATTCCCAGGCTGAGATATCTCTGAACTAGTCAATGAAAATTGACTAGGAAACTAAAAGCAAGAAAAGAAGAAAGTGAATAATGATGTGTTTTACATTTGAAAAAACTTCAYTAAGGTACAGAACATACACAATAATACTAAAAGTTACATTTCTACAAATTGGAAGTTACATTTTTTATTGTTATTACTATCACAAAACMTACTGCTCTCCTAAGAGCAAAAAACAAGTGCATTCACAACAAAATGATTTAGTGAGCAACATGAAGAAAACACAGTGCTTGGGAGATGGGACTGGAGTTCATTGCTGTCGGGAGCACCAAGACTACAATTCTAAGGATACAATTTTAAATCTCTTTTGTTGGGGTATCCTATAAAGTACAAAAGAYGTCTACCGGCTTCAACAGCCGATGATTCACAAGTCAACTCTATGTGCCACAGTTACAGTTTTAAGTACATACTAAGAAGTAGTGGGAGSTAAGAAGACATGAAGAAGATCTGCTAATTGAAGAAGTGCTGAGCCACTTCTCATTTAGTTATGAATACACTCCAAAACGCTGCCGCTTTTGACCACAAGGGCAGGAGGAGGCCCCAAGGTGAGCTAATAGCTCCCGCTCCGCGGTGGTGAGCGGCCCCCTTGGCACAACAAAGCAACCGCTGGCCTTTGCCAACACCCAGTGTGTCCTGATGGGAGCCCTGCCCGCCGTCAACGCTCACTCACTCCCGAGACTTGGGAACAGGGAGCTGCACAAAACCAGGCACGCGGTGCCCCGGGCGAGCAAAGTCCAGCGCGTGGCCTGGCYGCTCGTTTGAGCATGTTCATCTTGAAAGTAAGAGCGCCTTTTGCGGCTGGTGTTTGATGGTGGAAGACACCATCTCTTGCAGCTCTCGGGGAACCCAAACTCGGCGTTCTCCAGGCCGAAAGGGCTGCTTCATTCTGGTCTACACAGTGGCACAGGAAAAAGCGCCACAGGTCCCAATTCACAGGGCAGACCATTTTCATTTTCTGTGCTCCAAAGAAACAAAAGGCTTTTGCTTACACTTTCAGAATACTTGCATTATGAAAGACAGAGAGACAAAGAGAGAGAGAGAGAGAGAGAGAGAGAGAGAGAGAGAGAGAGAGAGAGAGAGAGAGAGAGAGAGAAAAGAGAGAGAAAAGAGAGAGAAAAAGGAAGAAAAGAAAGAAAGCCTCAGAAAAATGCATTTAATACTCTAAAGCAGTGTCATTTGTTCATCAGCAGACATATCAGCTAGTGTTCTTTCACTGTTCTCCAAAGCAAGAGAAGGAAAAGGCTCATGTACTGGTACTTGCAAATAAGCAAGTTTCTCAGTTTGAACAATTCATATAATACGATATTTTTAGTCTGTTCAGAATACTGTTACATTTTACATTATGCAGCAGATAACTAAAAGTTTCAAGAAGTACTTGCCAATTACAATCTCCACCACCACCACCTTTTTGCTTCATGGAAATTTTTACTAGAGGTGAATTCACGCTATCTGTACGGTGCTTTCAGATAAACTACACAAATAATCATAACCTTATCTGCTAGGGAGAAACATGAGAAATGGCCCGCCCTGTATAAACAGTGTAAATTGCCGAATGAGCTGAAGAAAAATCAACTAGAAAACTATTTCCTAGAAGAGAAACAAGCACCTTTCCTGTAAGACACAATGATAGAGGGGAGTCCTTAAACAGCCTCATGATACAGAGCCTGAACAATCTATTTTTCCACTATGGTCTGACAAAGTTTTTACCTATGTGAACAAATCAGTAACAGCAGTTTGACCATCTCTACTGAATGGGTTTAAAACCAGATGCACCTGTACAAAAGGGAGCTTATAAATCACAGAAAGATGAAATAACTCAGAAGTTTATATAGAAATACACTGAAAGCCCTGGAAGCCAGAGAGACAAATTCTGGAAGCTCCCTTTATTATATTCCTTGCTACTACAGCAGGAGTGATATTTCAGTACAGCAAATGAAGATGCATTTGCTAGGATTTTTAATATTAAACAGAATGAAGACCTTCCAAGTCTATAAAGCTCTGTGTATTTTTCCACAAGTTAAATCCCCCTGCAAAAGGTAAATATCAGCAGTTAATATAGCGCTCACCAAACAATACTGTTGAACCGAGTCACAGGTTTATCAAGGCCTCTGAACCATGTGTATGGCTTTAAAATTTATTTCTATTTGATATTTTCCTAACACTGCTTTGTCATTGAACCAGTTGACTCATACGATTTACAAGAGCCTATCCAACTGCATAAAGCAGAGGTCTGGAAACTTTCACCGAATTAATAATTCAAGATTTATTTCCCTGGCTTCCTGCGAGTTCTGGGAGAGCTGGAAACAACAGACCGACATTTGTCTTCTGTGAGTTAAACGAGAACAGGGTGCAGGATTAAACAAGGAGCAGCTCGTGCCCGTTGCCCGGAGCGGCAGCGTTGGGCCGGGGCGAGCGGGGCGGTCCTGGGCCCGGCGCCTCCGCCATGGTCACCACTTCCCACCTCCGTCACCGCTTCCCGCCCTTTGGCTTCCCGCCCTTTTGCTCGGCCCTCGGCCTGCTCMACTTGGGCTTTTAAAATAGCGCCTAGTCGCTAAATTCACTTGCTCTGGCTCCAAATCCCACCTTACAGCTTTGACTGTCACCTAAGACACGAAAGGCATATGCAACACTGCATACACCCTCCCCATAAACTTTATAGTTAGCAGCCAAGACCTCTTACAAAATCAAACTAAAACGATCGAGGGCCTTTGTTTCTTCCTTGTAAAGCCTTTTCTCCAYTCCAACCCAAGTCTTCTTGTACCCCTTGCCTTTCAGCATTATTTTTAAAATGCCAAACACAAGAACTAAGCATTTAACATGTCTATTAAATAGGAAGGTCTCTTCAGTCCTTGCTTCAGTCAGACACCTAGAGATTCCCTTCCACCACTTTTGCTTAGGTTATTTTGCTTTTCCATAGCTACTAGCATCTATTTCAAATTTTCATCTTTCTACACGGAGTTTTCTTCCAGTCCATGTAAAAATAAGGAATGCTAAGTATGTATATTTTACAACTGAATGCTTTAAAATAAGTTTGTTTAAAGAAATTCAACTTGATGAATCAGCCCAGATACAACTGCCATAGACAGTAACATTTACAAAYAACTATTCTATCAACTTTTCATATTCCATATTCACATCTTTTCATATTTTATCTGTATGAATCTTATACACATCATACATAGGTAAGCCCAACGTCAATTTTGCAATCTTTCATTAATAAATCTTGATTAATGTAGATTTTATGCAATCACATCGGAGCTTCACTMAACAACACTTAGAGGTATTCGTCATCCTGGGAAAAGTGCATTATTCCATTATCACAGAATCACAGAATCCTTAAGATTGGAAGAGAGCTTTACGGATCATCTAGTCCACTCCTCCTGCACACACACAGGTTTAGTTACATAGATCTTCTAATCATTAATCTGTTATGATGCTTTCATTTTATGGGAATAGTGTATGTTAAAATATTTAGTTGAGTGTGAAAAATGGACAGAGCCTGCGTTTGCTATCAAGAGTAGTTACTTCAGACCATGGACAAATCTTGCAGCACTGGTGAACTCCAGGTCTGCTTGGACAGACTTACCAGTATTTCAGCTCAGAAATCCAAACCAGCCTGACTACAAGAAAAACCCTCTTCAGCCTGTTTGAAATAAAGATGGTCAAGTCTGTCATTCTGACCAAAAGCTGTCTCTCTTGGTCTGTTTCACAGAGTAGTAGAAAAAAAGAGGATACCAAAGACTTGCATTCAGGTAAGTATTCAAATGATATTAAAYAAAGTGATCTATCTTTGCCTCTAAAGCATCACAAGCCCTACCTTTCTCCTCTCAGCTCTTAGTGAGGTCAGCTCAGCTGTTTCATGCCTATTTTCCCATAAACATGTCTGAGTTTTCTCATTAAACTCTCCCCAATTCCTGTTTGTTTATGATGTCTACAAGGAAACAGTCAAATAAAGTTTACCTATAGGCTTGCCCAGTACATACATCCATGCAGTGTATACCTAAGTAGGTGTGTAATGTTTCCCTTTCTTCAGCCTTCCATCTACTAAAGGTTTTATTTGAAGATGTGTCAATCTGTGACACCACAGTACATATTTAGTGCCTTTTATCCAAACTTTTAGACTGTTTCTTACAGCATTTTTCATGAAGCATTAAAGACATACTCCTCCAAACAACAAACAAAAGCCTTTTAATTTGCTCAACTTTTTACTTGATATTTGCCTGTAACAAAATTTTTATTTTTTTCGCCTGTAACAAAAAGTCTTAAGAATTCAAGACACAAATCCATTGCATACCAATCTGTTCTGTTTCCCTGAATTCGTTTGCCAAAGATATATTTTTGCAGCGATTATATTTCATTTCATAAGTATAAGGAACTAATAAAAAAAAAGTAAATTGATATTCCAATAAAGTAGCTGAAGTATGTGCATACAAAGAAAAACTAAATGCCTGTTGCAGGAACTGCTCCTGGCAAAAGGAACAAGACAATGTGCTTTAATAGGCAAAGGTTGCTGTCAGTTCAGAAATCAGTGAGGCTGATCTGTACTTTTACCTCCAGATGATGTGAAGAAATGAATAAAAAACATCACCTGGCATACACTGGATTGGTAAGAGAAGTMCCAAGCACAAGGAGGAGAGGGATCTAGGCATGCAAGCACATCCAAGCACTGAACCCTCTCAGAATCACTGTGTGGTGAGTGAATAGCCAAGAAATCCATCTCACTGCAGTGAAACCTCTATGGCACAAGAGCCTGTGACTGCTACAAGCCCCCATGAGCTGCAAGGTCAGAGGCCTTGGCTGGGGATGCTCAGGTGACTTCTCCTTCAGCGAGGCTCTGCACGACARAACGTGCTTTTCAGAGGGGCTAGAATTAATACACCTTTTCTGAAAGTCACAGGTGAAATACCTGCATTAATGTCGCCTGTACTCTCAATTCAACATGCTTATGCATCTATCTTATTGAAAAACTCATTCTATATGATTACACACTGCTTTTACATGATTATGTCATCTTCAGTATTCATAAATACATGACTGCTTGATCTGAAACTGTAATGAACTGTAGATGTCCATCTGGTGCATTTTGTACAAAACTTGAGAGACATGTAGGAAATGAGGAGTGGAAGTAGGGAAAAGATAATCCTAGTGTTATAGATATGTAATGCTATTCACAGGAGATTCCTAAAGGAAAAAGGGTTGCTCTCCTTGACATCATATCCTTTACATAGCAGGGGAGAAGCATGTTCCACTCGTGTCCTCTAAGACAGAGGGTAGTCTGCAAACTACCCTCAGGGGAGTCTGAATAAAAGCCTTCAAGGTGCTACCTGTGTGGAGATATGTTAAATACCTACAGGAGGTATTCATAATAAGTTCTGAACTTATTAATATTTTAAATGTAAAATGCCTGCAATTATATCCAATAAACGTGCATTTTTAAAAAATCCTATTTTGTTTACCTAGATGCCAAGTACTTAATATTTCACCTTGCTGGTCAAGGCTGATGAAGCAGCCCATGAGAGCTCTCTTCCCTTACAGTCCAAGTGCSTCCTTGATTTAAAAAGACTGAAAAAAAACTGCACTACAAAAGGTCATCTGAGTAAACTTCTTACAAGAAGTAAGGAATAACAGGAGAAGGAAAAGCACAGTGACAAGAATGTTGAGTAACTGAACATTAAAAGTTAAATCACGACATTGAAGACATCATTTGCACATTATTGAGTCCTACTTCACAAAATAATTTTAATAAGAAAAAGCTCTGATGGGATCACAGTTGCAATGCACTTCTTTCTAAGTCATACTTGGAGACTGGAGGTTACACTTGCATTTCCCACTTTGAGATAGTAAATTATTTCTGCATACGAAAAACATTTAAAGAATACTAATATCTAAGTCACAGCTTTTGGCTCTCAAAGATACTAAATACCATGACTGAATGAAATTTCCAAGTTAAAAAAAATCCATTTATGTCAAGATTATGAAGTCTGGATTACCAACTGAATTTTGCATTTTAGCTTATCTTTAACACACAGRCTACTATGTCCTGAAAATTGTTAGCCCTACCACTTCTTGCGAGAATAAATCAAATATATCTTCTCCTTAAAACTAATTTTGAAATATTATTTCACAGAAACATCAAGAGGTAACTTGCCTGGCATCATTAATATTGGAAGATATTTATGTCACTCTTTCCATTTATAACTCTACAGAACCTATGAATATTAAGAGGTCTAATTTCCAGTAATCATTCCTAACAAGTTTGGCAGAAATCAATAAACATGGACAATAAAACAGACGGCAACCCTGTTTGCAGAGGGTTATTCATTCTTAAAGTACAAGAAAGGTCAACATTATCTTTTTCTTCTCCAGKAAACACACATATGATCAAAAGCAAGAGTATTTCAACAGATACTGTGAAAAGGGGACTCACCAAAGGTTCAGCCATTACAACTTCAATTTTCTTTTCAGCTTGAACAGCAAATTCTGCAAAGAGGCTTTTGATAACATACTCGCCAGGCTTCACATCTGGATCAATAGTGATGTTGGACATGATGACGCCTCTCTTTTCCCAGGTGGAAGCAACACTTGGAGAAATTCTGCGTTTATTTACTCTGCTGGGTGGTGTGGAGGCTATAGAGAAAAAAATTAAAAAGCTGTAAGGGAGCAGAAGCACAATATCTGCCATTTCTTCACCTTCCCTTYCACCACATACAGCTAATAACACAATAAATTCACAAAACTGGAAACAGAAAATTCCTCATTACAACACCCAAAACATTTCTTCAATTTTCTATGAGAGGGGCAATTTCACACTAAAGTTAAGTTGCATGAGAGAGTGGAGACAATGTAACATATTTTTTAACAGAGAAAGTGCAAAATTGACTTAAGATGTGAAGGCAACTGGATTTTGATCATGATAGAGTTTAGAGGCTTTATTATCCTGTATCTTAACTTCAAATACCACATGACTAAAAAGCAAAAGGGACATTTTAAAAGGACTTCTGGGCTAAGTTACTAATTGTAAGAAGCATCTGTTGATTCTGATCTTTATGAATTATCCACCACGTTTAAGATTCTACTTGGTGTCAGTCAATTTCAGTGAAAAGATTTCCTTGGATTCTCTTGGCATTTGAGCCAATAAATGTGTTTTCCTAACACCACTCCATTTTCCTAACATAAGCTCATTTTTTTTTTCCACTTTCAAGTCACAAATCTGGAATACTTGCTCCCTATAAGGAAAATAGCTCGATATATCAATCAAGACAAGTAACACTGGATATATTAGTCTCTTAAAAAAGAGAAAGAGCTTACACTCTTACACTGAAATGATTATTTATTAACTTGACATTCTATTTATCAAACTTTAATTTTATTTTTCTCTCTGAGCACCCAAAGAAAACATATTTATTATTGCAGCCACTGTCCAGTGTAAAATGCAGTGCTGAAGTCCAGATATCAGTATATCTTTGCTTTTAATACATGCTAAGAAAAATAAATGACCACAATTGTCAGTTTGCAATAGATAAAATAATTATTGGTGTCTTTACTAATGCAACACACCTACCTAGAAAGGCTYGATATTTCTGTAGCATATTACGTGACAGCAGGTTGGTTTTTTATTTGATATTAAGTTGTGTTTGTAAACACATTGCTTACCACAGAGACCAAACCTTTAGGGACTTCACTTAAAATCTTCCTCCATTTCAATCTATGCCATTCCTTTTTCTCTACAACTTGAGTAAGTGACATTTTACTTAATGAATATTTCTTCCTCATCAAAAATCATTTATTTCTAAAAATGCATTACTGAAGTTAACAATTCAGCACAGGTGAAAGCTGAATGCTCATCACTACCTTAGTCTTTACTCAAAAAGGAGGTTTACCTTCCTCAAGCTTGTGATCAAAACATATGAACTAACTTTTTCCTTGTTATTTCCCATTCAAACTTGCTGCTCTATCAATATTTCACTGTTTCAGAACAAACAAGTAAATAAACAAGCGAAGGACAGGTGGCGCAGCCGCAGGGAGATGCTGTTTCTGTGCCGGGCGTCTCTGCAGTGCTTTGGTCTCGAGCTTGGCAAGCGGGGCCCGAGAAGGCAGGGCGAGCACGAGCCAGCGGCAGCGCGGCGCAGAGTGGAGCTGCGGCCTGCTCCAGAGCCCCGCGGGCCCTTCTGCTCCGGGAGAGGCACCAAGGCCTTCGGAAGCAGCCCCAAGCGCCCACGGCTAAGGAGAGCAACAGGCCAAAACGCCTGGCTGGAAAGGAAATTCCCTGCCCAGCCTGAGCCTGATGGCTGGTTTGCCCCTCCGAGAAGCCAGGCGCTTCAATTGTCACTTCATGGCAGTCACTGTGCACGTCCTCCAAGATCCACRCTGCGCCTTTCTGACCCTCATGCTTTCCAAGGCAAAGACAGACAATTTTGTGTCATGAAAAAGAGCACAGGAGGGCAATAACTAAGTCAAATAGTCCCCTATATGAAATGTGTCTGAGTTTGGCTTTTAAAGCAAACAAATGCTTCAGTTCGAAACGAGCCCCCAAAAGAGGAGAAAAATGTCAAACGGAAGTAAACTTTAACACAGTAATGCAACAACTACAATATCCTTAACTTTGTTGAAGTGTCGGCATTTCTAGGGCAGAATAAAAGACTGGGATCTACTTTCAACTGTGCAGTAACTTACTCAGGCCTCTGTAATCCATGACAGAGCTAACAGTTTGTATTAGTGATTCCTGACTCAAATATAGCAGGGTTTGTGTTCTATTTGCCATGTAAGACATGTAAGTTAGGGGGGAAAAAAAAAAAAAAAAAAGGAAAAAAAAATAGCAGAAAAAATCCACGGGAGGGCAAAGGGAGAGAGTGCCAAACTGTCTATTTAATAAGCAGTTGTATAATAGTCTCTTAAAGGAAAGCCAAAATCTAATATCAGATTTCTTAACGTGGCCAAACATTATTATCCGGTACAACTATGCTCAGTGGGATTCATTCACTCATGAGCTGGAAACCAGCAACACTGTAAAAATCCACAGTGTGGATTTTGAGCAGCTATTAGCCAGATGCCTCGTTCCTGGGCAGGATTCCATAATTTCCTTGTGCGTTTCTTTGCCACCAAAGCTGGCAGAGCATGAGCTGTTTGGGGCTCCAACCTGCGGGGCAGGGTCTGCTCGGAGCGCCGGGAGCGCTCCCGGAGCGCAGCCGCCCTCGCTGCCCCTCCCTGAAGGAAGRGCAGCAGCCTTGGTTTGCCTGCTCCCCAAAACAACGCAAGGGACACAGCACAGACGACCGCCAGGCTTTATTCTAAGTCTGCTCCACCAAGAGTTATTATTTTACTCTAGTTAAAATTGACTTCTTAGAGAAAGGTTAAAATGTCAGTAACACAATAGCTTCTTTTTCACAGGGCTTCTTTTTTTCCCCTTTGAAACTAAAACTCCACCTAATGAGACCATTTTGGCCGTTGTTTTGATTTTACCACAGCCGAGGGTTGGGGTCAAGGTTCATACCGGTTACAAGAGTTTGGAAGCAGCGGAGTGGCAGAGCACTCCCAAAGGGCGCGCAAACGCCGGCTGTACCGCACGGCCCTGCCGGCACCGGGAGCAGCGTCGGCACCGGGAGCGACGCGCGACACGGAGCACCCCGTGTGCTGAGCAGCAGTGTTTGGCTGCCAGGGCCGCCCCGCRTTGCTCGGACACCCTCAGGGCACCCTAAGACAACACGGAGGACACGGGCACAGGCCGCTGATCGGAGGCCGAGAAAGCGGCACACTCGGATGTGCGTCACATCAGAGACAGAACTGCTGCATGCGCAACACACAAAACGCCCAGAACTACAACTGCTTTTTATGCACAAGTGGGTATTAAAGAATGGTAATTTCATCGCGCTGCTTCTCTCCATATTGCCCGAATGCAGCAAGAGGTCGAGCGTGCTTAAACRGATGGAACTGCTTGGGATACAAGCACAGAGCAGGAAAGAAGGGGCACCCGCTGCTCCGCAGCAGCCTGTGACGGCGGCRAGTCACAAGTGCCCCGCGCTTGACAGCTCATGTGAAGTAACTAACTTTAGCCTTCATATATCCTTTTTTTAAAAATACTATCCTGCACGTCATGAGAGTTCGTATTTGCTTTCATTGGTCCTCTTCACATCTTTTTGTTTAACTGAAATCCGCTCTGTTTGCGTCCCTGTTGTTTCTCGGGAAGGTTGATGGCCAGATCGAGGCAGAACTCCCAGATACCTCCTCTCATCCAAGAGAGCCAAAAATAGCCCTAGAATTCTTCCATGTATTTTAAAAACACTATCCAGCTACAAAATARACTCAACACGCTTTGTCACCACAGCCTTCACTAAAGAGAAGGTCTGTTAAGCCCATTTCTAGGTGGTAAATCACAGCCTACATTTAACGGTTATGCTTTTTTACTATTATTTTGCAGCAGAGAGTATCAYAGCTACTGAAGCTTCCTACAAGGGCTGTTGCAAATGTGTTTGAATATCCTGCTGAGAGTATGAAATTTTTAATTGTTTAATATATTATCTGCGTAATTATTTTATGGAAATTTAATTAGACTCTTTGTCTCTGACTGTGGTAAACTCTATAACATTTTGTCCTACCACAAAGAGTGATTTTAATATATATGGAAAATTATCTGCAATGACTGTTGGGGTGCTTTCTAACAACACATCTTCAGGTATCTYACTGCAGAAAACATTGTTTTTTCCTAATAAAAAAGCTGATGCTCAAAGTGATGACTCAACCTGACCAATATCATCCCAACAAGTTTCAAGCAGAGCCAAAAAATTAAATCCAGGTTTCCTGCCACCCAGGGCAGGGTTCTGCTTTGAGAGCAGAGCGTTTCTTCAGCAACAGCACCGGTATGGAGAGTCACTCCTCTTACCTTTATAGGGAGGCGAGAGCTTGCARCCCACCAAAAGCTCCTCTCTGAACCTCTCTCATATGGAGAAGGGAGCCCCCACTACTGACTTTCAAAATGCCGGTTTAGGAATTTGTGCCCTGGCAAAGTTTTCCTTCAGGATCAAAAAGAAAAAAATGTACTGAAATCACTAAAAAAGAGCTAGAAGGGCTTACAACAGGTGGAACACAGTGTCCTCGTGCAACCTGCAGAGAACCTGCTTCCCTACAGAACAGTGATTTATCAGCAAGAACAGTCACCGCGTGTTATTACCTACCAGCATCGAAATCACATGTGCTGGTATTTTAAACCTATGAGAGGCAGAAAACACAGATACTTTTGTTAGGAAATATAATGGTTGGGAAAGAGGCCCGACCTGACATTCAAGGAAGCATCAGGAGATGTGGGACAGCCAGTGAGGTGAAGGAGGAGGAGAAAGAGGAGAAGGAGGAGGCTGCTGGACTCATTCTGTCCACAGAGATCAGCAGGCTCCAGAGCTGCAAAAGCCGCTCCAAACTACAGCCACAAACACAGTTGCTGAAAGCTCCCCCCATCTCCCAGGCCACACAATTCCACTCTGTTACCTGGAAAAGGGCAGGGAAGAGCACAGAGAGAAGAGGGAAAATAAAGGAGAAACCTTCCTGACTCGGCTGGAGAGCACAGGGCGGATTTGGGCAGGGGAGGCAGCAGGACCCAGCACCGAGGTTTGGGCTGGGGAGAAGGGGGAGGAG